AATACCATTATGCAGCGGCGTAACCAAGGGGGAGGCACATGGGCAATTGCCCATTTCATTTTGAGCCTTGCCCATTCAAATTTTACTTTTTCACAATTATTTACTCTTGAATAAACTAGCTACTGTTTTTTTTTCTTTCGTTTGAATCGCATATGTACCCTTTACTGGTTCTTATGAAGAATTAATGTAAGAAAACAGAACAAAAAAATTGAATAATGCACAATTGTACATACATATCTATATGTATACTTGTTCTTCTCTTTTATCTTCTCTTAAAATGCTGACATGAGAGAAAACGATTGAACTATAATCTATCTCGTCCAGTTTACCGTCTTGTCTCTTCTTTCGCGCTACTATATTATAAGAAAAGTCTAAAGAAAAACGAAAAAAGAACAAATATGCTTATATAAAATTGCGCACTTACACTTACAATTTTGGTGTTCTCTTTTGTCCTGTTTTAAAAGACTAATACTAAGCCATGCCAACTGGAAAACGACCCAATACACAGTGGCGGATCCAGAAAATCAGTAAGGCGGGGGGGGGAGGGGTGGTACTCCCGGTCAAAGTGTTTTTGAAGCCTATTTGAGGCAATACGGCTCTTTTCTGTTTCATTCCTGCTGGAAAAAGTCGAAAAAAATTCATGAAGGGTGTAGCCCTCGCCGGTTAGCTGTAATAGTAGATCGGCCAGTGGCAATTCGTTATCAAACTATCACTTTTCTTCCAAATATTGAAATTTTATGTGAAAATATACAGTGGTCGTTTTGATTTTGGTTTTGGTGTTTAAATTTCAAAACCAAATGTTACAAATAGAGACTGAAGATAGAATAAAATATGTCTAACTCAGCAAGTCTGAGGCAGGCTTAAAATCTGAGATTCTTTTTCTATATATTAGGTTAAAAGAATCTCATGTTTTTTTGGTGTTTTTTCTACGTTATCAATGCTGTGCTGGGTTAAACAATTTTGGCCTATCAATAAAATCTTGCAATTTTGCCCATGGTTTTTTTTTGACTTAATAGATGTTTGCCCAATGGTCTAAAAATCCTGGTTACGCCGCTGATACCATCAAAAATCACCAATATGATGGTATACTCGTTCAATTTTTTTCTATAGCATGCTCAACAAGTCTCTAAGTTCATTTGATATGGAGGTGATGACAAAGTTGGGTTTTTTCATTCGTGATCTTCACCGACAATTAGAACAATTGCATAAAAGAAAACAATCGGTTACATACAAGAAGCAATTTACTGTATATCGTGGTCAAGGACTAATCCAAACGAATATCGAACATTTACTCGATGCGCGAAAGGTGGACTTCTCTCCTTCAATAATTTCTTATCGACTAGTAAAGAGAGAACTGTAGCCATGCAATTCGTGCAGAGTCCACTGGATGAAAATGATGACATCGTAGGTATAGCTACTCTTCATTATGACAATCAATCCTGACAAAATATCTGCTACGACTCCTCCGTTCGCCCTGATCGATGATTACAGGATGGTATCGAATGGGTAAACGAATACTCAAGGTTGGTCATTTCGATGATGCTGAACAATTGTACATTGAATTGCTCAAGAAAGCTACAATAGACAATGACAGAGCATAAATCTATTCTGAGTTAGGCAGAATAAAATTGACCCCAGGCGAAAATGAAAAAGAAATTCAATTTAACGATAAACCACTTGAAATCTACCGGAAAAACTCTTCCAGAAGACCATCAGGCATTAGCTGCTATCTGTAACAATATTGGTCTTGCGTATAACAATATGGGAAATTACTTAAAATCACTTGATTTTTATAGTAAAACGAATACAGTCTTCGAAAAAGTCCTGCCTCCAAACGATCCCAATTTGACGCGTAGTTAAAATAACATTGGTCAAGCATATAATAGCATGGGTGATTACTTGAAAGCACTTGAATTTACCAATAAGCATATAAGATCTACGAAAACGTTCTACCTCCGACTCATTCTCATTTGGCTACGTCTTACAACAATATCGGTCTTGTATATAAAAACATGCGTGACTATTCAAAAGCGCTGGAGTTCTATGAAAAAGATTTGGAAATAACAAAAACAGGTCTGCCTCTGAATTATCCCAATTTGTCTATTTCTTACAACAACGTGGTGGTGTGTATAAAAATATGGGCAATAAATCGAAAGCACTCGAGTTTATAGATGGAGTTCATAAAAGAAAAGAAAACGTTTTGCCATCGAACCACTCTGATTTAGTTTGCTCGCACCACAATATGGGTTGTTTCCATGAAGATATTCGAGAATATCGTAAAGCAAGTCAATTTTATCAACGCGTTTATGCACTTGTTAAAGTTTCTCTACCACCAAATTATCCCAATCTTGTATTGCGCGAATAGCGTCTTCAGAATGTAAATAAGAAACTGTAGTTGTTTGCTCTGTGAATCAATTTAAGCCGATTGCTATTCATCACTGTTGATTTCTCCTTTGGATTCGTGATCTAAAATGACTTTAAGAAAGGTTAGCGACAAAACGCTGGTCGAAGCATGAGAATAGATATAATATAGAGCTTTGAACGACAAGGATTATGCCAGTAAACTCGAGCTTTGAGAGCAATACACTCACATTCTCGTAATAGAAAATAGCATCTCTCGCGTTCAGACTAAAGAAGCGCAAGCATAACATGTACACATCGTAATAACAAAATAGGTGATACTCTACTGAAGCATGGTATTTATTGCAAAATTTTCGATATTTATGTTGATAAAACCTATATTGCATCTCTAAAACGCATTCATTAAAGTACTAATTGAGCTGGCCATCGATGAGATGGTCCATTGAAAAAACTTATTTATGTATCGGGCGAGAAAATGCAAACAGAAAGTTACACCTGCGCTCAAGACAGTAAAAATATTATGTATCTAATGACATGGTGTATGTCTAGCAAGGAAAATACTACTTGCAAAAAAACCACATAAATACGGCAAAAAATCAGTCTAAAACTTTTGTAAAAAAAATTCGATTTAATATAAGAACGATGGTGCATAGAATAGATCTTTGTGTGTACTCAAAAAGTGAGTACACTCTAGAATCGGTCAGTGTGTCCGTCCGGCCGTAGGCACGATAACTTTCGAAGGGAGAGTCAGATCGTGATGAAATTTTCCACACAATTCAATCTCATGAATATCTCGGTCGAGTTCGAAGATGAGAAGAATCCCTCAAGAAATGGTTGAGTTATCGAAAAAATTGTCATTTTTGATCAGGCCATCCCTGAGGAGTGGTACAGGGTAGGGATGGATCATTTTTTTAACGGAACTTAATTAATGCCATTAATTAATGACTTCCATTAACCATTAATCTTAATGGTTAATGTTTTCTGAGAAAAACTTAATTCATTAATATTAATGCCAATGTTCTTGAATGATCTTAACGGTTAACGGAAATATTCACCATTAGTATGAATAGTAATGTTTTCGTTAATATTAAGGACTATATCTTCATTAATCACTAATATTAAGGTTAATTTTTCCATGAAAACATTAATTTTTCCATATTACTGAATTAGATTTTTCTAAAGAAACATTATCTACAATTATTAATCAATTAACTGGTCTTAACAGCTAATGTTTTCTCCGAAAGTGTTAATTACTTAATATGGAAAGTTAATGCTTTGATGAAAACATTAACCATTATTATTAAATCATTAATTTTAATAAAAACATTAACATTAATATTAATGATTAATAAAAACATTAATTTTAAAATTAATATCAATGTTTTTCGTTAATCATTAGTATTATTGGTTAATGAGAAATATTAACATTAATATTAAATTAATGTTAATGGCCCATCCCTAGTAGAGGGATTTTTTTTCAAAAAACAAATTTTTCTCAGAATTATTCACAACATATATAAATCGACTCAGTTTTTAACGCTGATTCCGAATCTGATATTAGTTTTGAACTAAATCGTAACCCATGTAATAAAAACCGCATGAAAATCGGCGGTTTACCGCGGTTTTACCGGTCCGGTTACCGGCTCCCATTACCGCAGAACGGATAAATACCGCGGTTTACCGCAAAAATTGATCCGGTATTCGCAACATGGGAACTTTCTAACGAAACATCGCCTGAAAAACGTCTCAAAATGCACAAAAACTGCATCCAGAAATCAAATTGTCTAGTTTCTCATGATAATTTTGGTGTTCAGGCATTCTAAAATGACTCATATGTCCCATGCACTTTTTGCAGTACACATAACTCTCGGATGAAATCCGAAGTTTCCACATTTATTTGAATTGCTGTTAATATATAAATATTTCAGTTATCAAGTGTTACTAATCGAGTAACTTCCATGGAACAGAGTATGACTTTTTTCTTGTATGAACATCAGTCAAAAGTTTAAATGTATCAGACCTGATCAGCATTCGTCAATTGGACACAAGAACTTTGTCCTCTTTCGAATCTAAATCTATGCGGTACTTTTTTCGTCGTGTCGCTCTCTTTATGCACAAAGATTATTTTCCTCGTTGAAAATTCGTCAAAACTAGGTGATGTATATTGTTTCATTCTCAATGGATATAATTTAATATACTTGGTTTCGAAATTTTAAATCAAGTGAACAAAACACATCGCCTGAACATAATTCAATCGCCAATGCAACAGTCATACTCAAACTGATTATATTCTATTACATTTGAAAAAAGTATCTCCAACAATGTTATACAACCCTGGAGAATCATTCCGACAGTGAAAGCCGATCAGATCCAATGATAATCATCGGAAGTATATGACCTGTCAGAAATATTTTTTGAAGTGCTCGATTGCTATGGATGATGGACCTTTGCATTAGGTAGACTTCAATATATATAGTCAGTTATTTGTACCATAACAATGCTTACCGATTCAAAACGACATCTATGGATAATGATTTAATTAGTGACGACAACATCGAATCATCATTGGTGTATGCTATTTTATTTTTATTTTTATAATGATATATTGCTGACAAACAAAGGCAATATACAATCAAACGATGGATAAAGAATCTTCCGAGTAATATTGTTTTTTTTTGTTTGATAAATAATATTTGATATTTCAATGTCTAGAATCGATTGGGATGAATTACCAAAACCATTACCATCAAATTTATTCGATAAATACACGCATCAATCATTTCTACCACCGTTAACAAGTTTAAATATAAATGAATCAACATGGAATAAATGTCGTTCGTTCGCATTAGATCTGGGTAAAAAAGGTTTTGCCGATCCGTTATCAATCTTGTATACATCATTTAAACGTTTTTATCCAAATTGTCTATCCATACGATCATTTTCACGCTGGTTCACGTTATATGAGAAAGATAAGAATGATTTTAAAAATTATTTGAAACAGCATGCAATTCATTCGATGAATATTCAGTCAATAGGCGAAATAATAAATTTATCAAAAACACTTAAATTTAATAATAATAATAACAATAATATTTCTAAAACTTATGAAAACTCCAAACAAATATGGTTTTTATTTTCAATATCCATTCGTACGTCAATGAATGATCATATAGTGATTGCAGATACACTTATCTTAGACCATGGTGTAACGCGATTAGCATCTAGGCAAAGGAAGGGTATATCGTCTCGTATACATTGTCTATTTGCTTTAACTCCAAGTGGAAAATTTTCTAATCAACTAATTGTATGTAAACAAGGTAAAGGCTTAAAAATGAATTTTTCTTCGACAACATTTACACGTATTGTACAAACGGCAACCGGAGACTTAACTCATGAACATATGCAACAATGGTTTGAAGATTTCATTTCATTATCGTACGGACAAGATGAAAGGTAAATATGATTTAGTTAAGTAGTTCTAATAATAAAATTATTGAATCTGTTCAATGACTTGAAAACAATTTTTCAGTTTTCTCGACTTGTTGAACGAATCTATAATTAGAGTCATATGTTATTTATGATTTTCCTTTGGTTGTTATCATTGTTCTTGTTGATGCCAATCATCCGATAGCATTAGTTTTTTTTTTCTATACATTTTATCGTGGTTCTATTCTGTCTCTCTGTGATATACTGGCTAAACATAAATCTTCCGCATTTCTTCCTTTCTTTTTATCGAAGAGGGTCAACTCGAGTGACCTGGAATATTCAATCGATGTTCTCTATAGTACTGCGTACAACCAGAAGTGAAGGTCGCTTATGTAAAACGAGATTGCCTCGTCCTCTAGACCTAGTAATAGCCAACATTGAAAGGACATCTATCCTTAAGCCCTTGATCGTTATTATAAACCCATTGCTTTTATTCTAGTGTTGTTCTTCTTGATCCGCGAACCACTCTATTAACACCTGAACTAGAAAATTTATGTCAAAAATTAAATGTTGAATTACTAACTATTGATTTAAATTATTATTTAATTCATATTTTATCACCAATATTTTCATTATTTGATAAACAATGGACTGAAGTAAATAAGTTAGATAAAATGTATTTAAAATCATCAAATGATTTAAAACGAATTATTTATACAATTTGGCATACATTACGAACATTAAAAAAGAATGAAAAAATATGTGAAATATTCAATAAAACTTTCCTATGGAAAACTAATGATGAAGCGTATCTACAATCGCAGCAGGCAGTTGTGCCACCATCGCCACCGAAGAAAAAAAAGAAAAAATCTCCTAGTGGTAAAGCAGGTATGATCTGAATCAAATGATTTACAATAAACATTATGATAAATCGAAATAATAAAGTCTTCTTACATTACTAGACAGAATGACCGAATGGTCCAATTAGACATAGGAAAGTATCAACTCAAGAGAGACTACATTATATTGCCTTCTTTTCATCTGGGTAGGTCATCTTAATTGAAGAATATCAATTAAAGTCAAGAGTACTTGAAACATGAACGACTATCAGCTAGCATCTAATAGTTATCTATTTCCAATTATTTCTGTTGCAAAACAGCAGTATTTTTCTAGTTAAACGAAAATCTGTAAAATACTCACATAATCGCAATTGTAAATTGCCGAATGTGAATGATGTGAGAACAACTATCAGCAATATTCTTAGATGATCTCTATCTGACCTACTCGATTAAAAATGTAACATAAATATTATCTCTAAGTCATAATTGTTCATCACTAGACTTGAGCATGTAGAATATTTTTTTTTGTATTTTTAGGTAGCAAAGGAAAAGTATCATCGTCAACAACAATGATGACTGATCCACCCAGTGAATCGTCTCCGGAACAAATTTTACTCTATGTTATTCAACGACAATTGTCAATTTTGCGTGCAAGTAAATTTTTAGGTGGAGTCAAATTAGATTATTTAAAATATTGTCTTTCGTATAAATCAAATTCATTATTAATGACTGGCTCACGTCTAGTTGAATTAAATACTTTTATGCAATCGCAATCAACCGTTGATTGGCTCCGTCATTTGCGTTCATTATATTATTGGCCATGCGCTAAACAATTATTTCTACGAGAAATCTACCAACTAACTGGCATTATTGCACGGAAACGTTCGATGGATCTTTGTGGCAATGGAAATATTGGTTCGATAAAAACTTGTGATTTACAATCGCCTGGTATTTTCTGGCGAGCATTTGAAGATATACATCAAATTCAATTTGATAATGAATCTGTTATTAATCATGATCAATGGCATGATGATTTTCAAAAATATCTTATTGAAAATAAACTCAACAATGAAAAAGTAAGCAGTCTTATAATACCGTGTTCTTTTTATTTAGGAAAATTTTTGAACTAAATGTCCAAATACATAAGGTGGAAAATTTTTATTTTTCTCAAACTCCACCAGTAATGTACTAGAAGAAAACCGCAATGGTTAGGAAAATATAGAGATTCAACACTGTTTAACATTTGAATTTCTATTGTTGTTCATTGACAGATACACCTGACCACTATTCTTCTCAATATTACTATGATTGTATTGATTTATTTTTCTCTGTAGTTATTGTTCAATTCATAAATTGTGTAATCTACAGTCCAATCTTGTATGGTAAACGCCTATCTAATATCAATCCTTTCTTATACTAAAAACGGACTAGTTGTAGAGCGATGTTTTTTTCTCTCGCTTCAAGTAGACTGCTTTTTCGGTGAACTCAATGCTTTTTATAACATTCATTCATTTGAAAAAGCTCAAAGTGAATTAGTTTTGTTCGATACTTATTCTTATATTCGAGAATTTTCGTTGTTGTCATCGAAATTGAAATAAGTCAATTGTTGAACTTCGGACGATGCTTGTTTTTCTCCAAAAAAGATTTTATTAATATGAAACGTAAAATCCGATTGATCTGTTTTGAACTTTTGTGCATAGAATAAAAATAGAAGCTATAATGAAACATTACTTTATCTTCTAATCTTAGACTCAATTATGGACAGTGGATGCGTTTGAATTTCCATTAACTAAAAAATCGACTGTACTTCAATTACCTGAATGGAACGAACTACGTCCAATGAATTTAACGCCAAAAGTAACTGTCATTTATGCTTTTTCCAATACTGGCCAATCAATAGGACCGCATTTTATTTTTCCGAAATCACTTCATGATACTGTTTTAATCGATCAAAAAGATTCTTATAATGAATTAGGCCATTTAACACCGCAAATATTTCTTTCATGGGTTGAAACCAATCTTAAACAAAAAAGTAAGTAATTATTATTTTCCATAAGCAGTACATTCGAGGATTCTTGAAAAAAATTATTTTCTGTATTTCTTTTGAACTTTGAGTAAAACATTGAATTTAGTATATGCAGATCTCTTCGATAAATAACAAAATTATTTTAACAGGAAACCGCTCGAAGTCATCTATGAATGTAATAATCCAGCGATCAAGCAGATAACTCTTTAGAGACATTATATTCTGAGTTTCTTTTAAAAGTTCAGCGAGTACTCATTCTAAGCAATGGCTTCGAGCAATGACAGACTCAAATTGCCTGCCAAATGCTATTTTCTTTCAGTTGCGATTCGTCGAATCAATAGAACTTTATTTGTTATGTTACCTTTTCAAAACATTCGACTATTCATTTGAGTAACGGTATGACTCTTTTCACAGTTATTTTTTTCCTAGTCCTGAACAATGTCAATAGATCCGAAATACACTAAATCACAGTCCTATCAGCCTAAATTCATTATTTAAAAAAGATCTCCTTGATCGACGCAAAATTGAAAGATGTGCAAGAAATTCATCGAGTTATAACACTTGTATTCAGTGTACAACTTTTCGAATGGCTCGATGCAAAATGAATTCAAACATAATTTCATTTTTCTTCTAGGTCATTCACCAATAGTTCTCGTCTGTTGTGCACGATTACCAGTTTTATCACCGATAGTTTTATCTACGCTTGAAAAATATCAAATCCATCCATATGGTTATCCGTATACACGTATAACACCATTTCGTTATTTATTTGAGCGACGCGTTCGAAATAATCGTTCGACTAATTTAATGAGTGAACTATGGAAAAAGAAATTACTAGAAGAACAACGTACACATGTATTAAAAGGCGTAAATTGTACAGTTGATAATATTAAACATTATTTTCAACAAGTATGGTCGCAAATAGTTGATGAAAAATGCGATGATGATGAGAGTGATGAAAATAAAACCTTTGACGATAAATGCCAACAAGCGTTTCAACAAGCAAATATACAAATAAAATTAAATGCTAAAAGAAAAAATACAATTAAATTAACACCGAAAAAAATTCCGAAAAATGACATCCCATCAGTTAATCATTTACCAATTGAAGTAACAGAATCAACGGTTAATAACGATGAAATTGTGGATCAACTTAACCATTTATTAAATGCTATTAGTCAATTCAAAGAACAGATAACATCAGCAAATTTGTCGCAAATTCTTAAAATGAAAAATCACATCCGACAAAGTACCGACGGTAAGTCTCAGATATGATTAAAACCGATACAATAGAAATACACAGTTGTAGATTCTTACGAGCTGAATAAAAGAAGACACTATGGAATACTCTATATTTCCATGCTAATTCTTTATTTTTGTAGCTTACAAAAAAGCTTGTTAGCGCAGCCCCTTTGGGACTAAATGTGGAACTCACATATCCATTAATAGGCTTACTAAAACAATTCAAAATAGTTCATCTGAAAAATCTATCTTGATTTCCAAAACCTATAACTAAGTCATTACCTATTTGCTTATGTCTGTAATGGAGTATCAATTGTTAGCTCGTATATTTAATAACAGAGACTACTTTCTATAGCCCGTAATGAACCAGCATTACTTTTTTTCTTGTAGTCTGTAATTAAAACAAGGAAGAAATAGCAGCCTAATTAGTCAAGCTCATAATTAGCACAATTTTAAACTCATTAATGTCTGTAATGGGGAGAGGTGGCGAGCCGCAAAAAATTTCGCTTTTAAACACACCCACCATTTTCTTCGAAAATATATGTGAGTTCCACAAAATGCATCCTATAAAAGATTTAGATTCGTCTATTGCCTGAAAGATTACTGCTTAGTTAAAAACATCCGTAAACTAGAGATTTTTGACCTCGGTAGTTTTCGTTAAGTAGAGACACGATTTTTTTCCTCACCAATACAATGCCTAAGGTTGACTATTCAACTATCATCGTACGATTCAGTTCTTCTGGTCAATTCTTTTTGCTATTTGCCCGATCGGTATTGTTGATTCAACAAGTATTTTTATTTATTCTATAGCTCAACAGTCAACTAGTTTGAATGGAACAATTGATAACACAGAGAATTTGCATCCGCCACCAACGTCATCCGAGCCAATTTCTGCCACAAACACAAATTCAAGTTCTCCATCGACTACTGATAAACGCTCAATCGATGAAAATGGTGAACCTCATATATCTAAACGTCTCCGCTCATCATATTCTCAAGCCATTGATAACACTAATGCAGCAACAATGGTTAAATGGATTCCACCATCGAAACAACTTGTAACAAATTTACAAGCTCAATCTTCATCGTTATTTCAATTTACATTATCACTTATTCATACAATCATCAATTCAACTGATAATCAGATTACAAATGAACATTCTCGTTGGTTACATTCAACACTTAATTTATATGGTCATAATTATAATAATGAAAAAATTAATGTTCTTATTGAAACAGCATGTAAAGTCGCTAAAATAAGTCTTGTCAGATAAATCCTAAAAATGCAACGAACAACTCTACTTCGTTTTATAATTTCTCTGTGTATTGTGTAATTGTTTTCTTTGTGTTTCTTTTTGGTCAGATATATTTTCGACCATTAGTTTCATTTGCTTGTATGTGAAATAAACGACAACAAAATTGTTTACTCAAAAAATAATTAATCCTAATCAGTATAATATTGCATATTGTTGTAGATAAACTACCGAAGAAAAAAACAACGACGACAAGTGAAACATGTCTGGCTTAGTACAAACAAATGCTTGGAAAAATTTAAAGAGACTTTATGATACAGTTGGTATCAATCTTAATCTTCGACAATTGTTTGCCGATGATGAGAAACGTTTTCAAAATTATCTATTACAAATTGAAACAGCCGATGGACCATTTTTATTTGATTATTCAAAGAATTTAATCAACGATGAAGTCCTACGGGAACTATTCGCTCTATGTCGTGAATGTAATGTTGAAGAAAAACGAAGCAAAATGTTTGCAGGCGAATTAATTAATTTCACTGAAAAACGTGCTGTCTTACATACAGCATTACGTGCACCGAAAGATGGAAAGCCTGTTTTAGTCGATGGAAAAAATGTTTTACCCGATGTTCATCGAGTTTTAGGCCAAATGAAAACATTTTCAGAATCTATTCGTAGCGGCCAATGGAAAGGTTATACAGATAAATCAATTACCGATGTTGTTAATATTGGTATTGGTGGATCTGATCTTGGCCCATTGATGGTTACGGAAGCATTAAAAGTAAGATAGTCAATATAAAATTTCAATAATACTAGATTTTCTATCTTACGAATACACACGAAGGTTTTAGTTCAGTTGCAATCGCTTCATTGTTATGTCAGCCGAGAATAATGGAGAATCTTTCGTTCAAACTTACAATAGTATAACTCACAAGGAGTCATTCGAACTAGTTAGACCGGCTGTGGTATGAGAAGAAGAATAGATGTATCTTTCCAAGATATGCGTGATTTATTAGATTTATGATGTACAAGAAAAAATCTTCCATCTCTCTCTCTCTCTGAACGTCTTTTAGTAGATCACTGTAAATAAGTTGAATAGTAAAATAGATATCAAATACCACTTTTTTTTGTAGCCATATTCAAAAAATGGTCCAAATGTTCATTTTATTTCGAATATCGATGGTACACATATTAGTGAAACTGTATCGAAATTGTCACCGGAAACAACATTATTTATAATTGCATCGAAAACGTTTACAACTCAAGAAACAATAACAAATGCTGAATCAGCTAAAGAATGGTTTCTCAATCAAGCGAAAGATCAAAGTCATGTTGCTAAACATTTTGTTGCTTTATCAACAAATACACAGAAAGTAACTGAATTTGGCATTGCAAGAGAAAATATGTTCGAATTTTGGGATTGGGTTGGCGGTCGTTATTCTCTCTGGTCAGCTATTGGCCTTTCGATTGTATGTTCGATTGGTTTTGAAAATTTTCAACAATTATTAGCCGGTGCACATGCTATGGATAAACATTTTCAAGAAATGCCATTAGAAAAAAATCTACCGGTTATTATGGCTGTACTCGGTATATGGTATAATAACTTTTTTGGAGCTGAAACACAGGCTATCTTACCCTATGACCAATATATGCATCGTTTTGCAGCTTATTTTCAACAAGGTGATATGGAAAGCAATGGAAAATATCGAACAAAAGACGGGAAACAAGTCGATTATTCAACTGGTCCAATTCTTTGGGGTGAAGTAAGTTAATTAAAACATAATATCCTTTTAAGCAAATGGAGATGTCGTTTATTATACGAAAAAATAAAACTAGAGAGTAAGAGGGCGGCATTGTACTCGATAATGGTAGGCTTATAATGAGTTGAATGAACTTCAATTAGTGCCGAGATGTACTTTGAAAAGAGAAGCTACATTAAATACGAACAGTGATGCTGATGTCTAGCATGCAATGATAGATATTTCCACTTCCAGAGTGATTCCGCATATCAGCTGCTGTGATTGAAATCGATTGACTTCGTAAATATTCATTTGATTATTTCTAGCCTGGTACAAATGGTCAACATGCATTTTATCAATTGATCCATCAAGGTACAAAATTAATACCCTGCGATTTCATAGCTCCAGTTGAAACCCATAATCCATTACGTGATAATCTTCATCATAAGATCTTATTGGCGAATTTCCTCGCTCAAACTGAAGCACTAATGCGTGGTTTAACGGAAGAAGAAGTTCGAAAAAGTGGCAGTGGAAGTGATGAACTTCTTATCTTTCATAAAACATTTCGTGGTAATCGACCAACAAATTCATTTGTTTTACCACGTTTGACACCGTTTACATTGGGTTTATTAACTGCTGCATATGAACATAAAATATTTGTTCAAGGACAAATTTGGGACATTAATTCCTATGATCAATTTGGTGTTGAACTTGGCAAACAATTAGCAAAAGCTATTTTACCTGAATTAGATGCAACTCAGCCTGTTACAACTCATGATTCATCAACAAATGGTTTACTTAACTTTATTAATAAATATAGAAAATGGACACCAACAGCTAACAAATAAACAAAAGACAAATAATCGTTCTAGTGATTAGATAGATTAGTACGATCCTTTACAGTAGATCCATTTTATTTTATGCTTGCTTATATTATTCTATTTTAGAAATAAGCCCAAAAGGCAAGGGACACGAGAAATGACGAGTAATTAATATGAAATATAAAGTTGACTGATTTATTATGATGGTCTGCGAGTGATGAGTCGGTTTAATAGTCATTTTTTTGTTTATAGCACTATTCTCCCAGATTGTATTTCAATCCATTTTCTCCTCAATTCCTTTCTAGTTCTAGCATTATTATTTTCTATATTTAACTATAACGACTAGTCAATAAATAAACTCATTGCTGGAAAATCTATTGTGTTTATTTATGTCAATCGTCTTCTGATAAATTCAGATTAATAATATTCTTTAGAATTTTAATGAGATTTTTTTTTTTAGAAAGAATATATAAAATTTTTCTCATCAATGCAAAAATCGGTTTCTTCAAACATTTGAATGTGATGTACTTAATTTCTTTTAGCTGATAAAAATAGATTTCTATCCGTTTGATATTGAGTAAATGATGAAAGTATAGTAAAGAAGAATATATCCAAGTGAAAGGTTATTTTTAATCTACGAAGTGCGCGAGCGCTCTGCACTCCCTTGGAAAAGGTTTGTTAAATGGCTGCACATCTTTTTTGTTTTTATTTATTTGCTATGTTGAATATATATTTATAGCTATACCAGCGAAGATGACTATGGATGTATTGTCGGCTATGCTTTGGCTCATGAAATCTTGTTTTTATTATTAAATTGTGTAACGACGAAAGAAAATAAATAAAATTAAAACATAATCATGATGGATGCATTTGTCTTTTTTTTAATAATAGAGTCAAAGAAGAAGGAAATGTTGAAATATTTTTGTACATGCATTTGGATTTTTTTAAGAAGATTTCGCTTTAATCCTAGTAAAGATATTCCCGAGTCTTGCTAATTTAATCTTTAGTTGCAACTAGAATCTAAGTCACAAGAAAAAGAATTCACAAGGTGAGGAAGTCTTCCGAAGCATTTCCTTGAAGTGTTATGGATCGAATCGATTAAAGGACCCGTTGCGGCCTAAATCGTACACTACTGAGTACGATCTATACTATACAGTTGATGTTTGCAAGTAGCAACAGCGCGCCGGTTGAAGTCTAATACTTAAATGGTCGGCTATCATCTGACTAATCATTTATCGGTTGTAGTACACTATGCCGATGGTATTCGTCAATAATGCTTTGACTATCTTCTGGTTACTATTCTATAGTGGTGCTAGTGATCACTAAAATACAATATGGACAGGCACTGGAATTTAGTGAAGATAGGGTGGACTGGGTTATTTATAGGACAATCGACCAGGATAATCAATAAATTTCATATGCATACTAAAGTGTCCTAAAATAAATATTTAAAGGCTAACACCGGAAGAATGTGCGATAACTACTATAGAAGTGTTTAACACAGTCTGCTGCTTTTATGTTAAACAAATAAACACATGAGTGTTTATTAGCCTGAAATTCAATAATAAATATGTACCAGAGAACAAATATAATTCTACGGTGAAGAGTACTTTATCAGCAATAAATAAATTCAAATAGATATGCAGAAAACGATTTCCTACCTCATGCAAATAGAGACAATTTATTTATGTCAAAGACGATTTGCAATGATACTATTTAAAATATCGCTCCTCAAATTGCACTGCACTTGCTAATTCTCCTTTTTGAAAAAATCAAAATCTTTTTATGCTAATTATCCATTAGTTTTGTTTTTCGTTGCAGATTTTCTGTTTCTCTATAAACAATGTGTCTGTATAGAAATATCCATTGATTAATTTTCTAATTCATGTCATTGTATACATATATTTTGAAATCTACAACAACCGAAACAAAGGTTCGATTGAACTATTATTATTACGATGATTTGTGGGTTCATTTGTATTAAACTTTATGTATGTTTAGAAAAGAAAATCTATGCCCATGACAGACACAAGTAGTCAAGAAATCGATTCATTATTATTATCCAATGGTAATAACGAAGAAACTCAATCGACAACACTTTCTAATCGTCGATCACAACGACGACGAACAGTAAGATTTTAATTCATTGTATTGTCTTGTACATAATTTTCTCTTTTGCAATAGAATGTTCAATCAAATATGCGAAGTAGTTCTTTAACAACAACTATATTAAAAGAAAACAGCTGTGATAATGAATCGATACTAGAAACAATAAAAGAAAATAATAATCAACCACAGCAACAACAAGAAAAACGTTGTTCACCTGTTATTACAGATACGCTTGTATTTAAAACATCAAAATTAAATCCAAAATCATCCTTTTGGACAGTGACTGATCGACAAGCCGAATGGTATAAACTCACTATACCAGTCAATCAACCAACGAATAATAATAGTAATAATATAAAAGAATCATTAGCAGTGCCCTGCCGATTGCTACCACATGTAATAGAACGAAAAAAATCAAATTTAAATATCAACGATCAAAATGAAGAAATTCTGTATGTATCCATGAATGAAATTTTCCTTTCGTAATTCTAAATAGAAACGGCGATCCCTTGTGAATTTTTCTGAGAACAATGCGATGATTACTCTTGGGATGCATATCTTGTCTCATCCTTTGAAAAAAAATAGATTTGATTAATCATTTTTAGTCAATCTGTCATTCGCCTTCGAGAAATTTTCTTTGTACTACCCATTGGCCACCACAAGCATCTGATCGAGTGTAAAAACGATTTTTACTTCGTAAGAATAGGAATTTTAAATGTCGCTCTTAGGAAATTGAATTCTCATCAGCTGAAGTTCGATTCGAAGCCAATGTCAGGCGATAGAAAAAGACATTATCAACAACATCAGATGTCTTCAAACTCAAACCAATTTTATGAAAAGTCAAAAATAAAATGTGTATCTATAGAATAAAAGACTGTCTTTTAAGTATTTCATACAATTGGTACCCATGTAAAAATAAATGTGGAAACTTCGGATTTCATCTGAAAGTTATGTGTACTGCAAAAAGTGCATGGGATATATGAGTCATTCTAGAATGTCTGAACGCCAAAATTATCATGAGAAACTAGGCAATTTGATTTCTGGATGCAGTTTTTGTGCATTTTGAGACGTTTTTCAGGCGATGTTTCATCAGAAAGCTACGGTTTCGCTCAAAACTAATATCAGATTCGGGACCAGCGTTAAAAACTGAGTCGATTTATATATGTTGTGAATAATTCTGAGAAAGATTTATTTTTTGAAAAAAATTCCCTGTACTGCTCCTCAGGGATGGCCTGGTCAAAAATGACAATTTTTTCGATAACTCAACCATTTCTTGAGGGATTCTTCTCATCTTTGAACTCGACCGAGATATTCATGAGATTGAACTGTGTGGAAAATTTCATCACGTTCTGACTCTCCTTTCGCAAGTTATCGTGCCTACGGCCGGACGGACACACTGACCGATTCTAGAGTGTACTCACTTTTTGAGTACACAAAAAACCTACGAATCGTTTGTATTTGTCTTAGATAAGAAAAAAATCCATCATATATAGAGTGATGACGAAAGAAAACAGAAGGCATCACTGCATATCAACAAATGTTAATCTCTGACTTGTTGAATAAGAAAAGATCACATATGAAAAAAAATAGATCAATTGATTAGGAATGCCCCTTGTTTATATAATTAGATCATCGATTTCACTGGGATCTGTTGTATCTTGTTTACTTTCTTCATCGAATTGATGTAAACGACGACGCCATGTCCGTAATTGCCCATCAAAACAACGTCGAGAACATTTTCGATATTTATTTGGTGTTGTTTTCTATTTATGTATAGGCAAAGAACTTAGTTTTCACCAAAAAAAAACAAAACTTATTTTACTTTAACGGATATTTTGTAAGATAATTCGCGTATGAATCCGACATTTTGCCTTTGAAAATTTCCTTGGTACGTTGACGTAATGTAGATAAGTCGAGTAGGATTCGCAGCAAATATGTCGTTGGGAAAAAATGAGAAGCCACAACATTTTATTTATCGAGATATTTACTTGAATAGATATTTGAGCGCGAGTTCTTCAATGTCAGCAATTGTTTTTGGGTCATCACTAAAGTAACGCTCCGAATTTCGAACGATTTGTGTTAAAGTACCAGCCATATCTGATTTAGCACGTATTAATGAACGACCACTGCCAGTCCTTTGTTTTTTATTCATAACACTCACACTCTTACGTAATGTAATACGATCACTGTTACTATTCGTTTTACTAACATTTGTTGCCATTGCATCATTTTCATAGAGAGCTGTTTTAAGAGATGAATGAAGTTCATAGATTTATGTAAAAAAGAATGTATTTTTTACTCTGCTGGTGTCCAATCAAGAGTGGTTGTAGTCATCATTATTTTATCTTCACTTTCAGCACTTTCCAAAATTGGCATTAGTTTAACTTGCGATTGTCCTGTCGATCAGACATCATCAACATTTTGATCATTACTTGACTTTTTTTATTAGCAATATATTTATCGATGTTGTACTAGTTCTATTTGAGTCTCGTAACTCATTCGTACTTGTTATACGCGAATAGCCGTGTCAATGGAGTTACGAAAAACTTCTGCCGACATGGATCGTAATGCAAATGGACGACGTAATCGATTAGTGATATTATTACTATTATTTGTGCTGTCATTTCCTGTTGGGGATCTATAGAACGAAAAAAAAGAAGTGAAGTGTGTCAGTAATTTGCCGAATCAAAATAACTAACCGAGCTCGACAAAACCCAGTGAAAGCAGCTGTGGCATGTCGCTGCTGTGCCACATTATCAATATGTACTTCCTAAAAACGATTTGTTTTTAATTTAAATAGAAGAACAAAAAGAGTCAATCATCATACCCGAGCTGCTTTTGGAATCCATAAATCGAATGAAAAAAGGATCTTTTGGATTTGTGCATCAAGTGCATAATCCGTACAGAGACCCATCAAGTCTTTGATACTGTAAATAACCATTCTTCTACGTTTGAGATAAGATCAATGTAAACTGATCGAACGATTTGAAAAAAAAAGTGGAACAAAAGATTGTCGAAAACCTCCCTTCGATTCTGTTCGTTTATTTATTTGATTTTCAAGTTATACATAGAGAAGAAAACAGCGATATTTATCAGTGATTTCAAATCGAAGTTATGATTGGTTTATGAACATTGACAGTTCGAAGCTCGAGCTCATTACTATCATGCCGTGTTTTACGTGCATTCGGTTCTAAACTTACTTATGCAGATGCATTATCCAATGTCCATTTCGTCATGATCAAGTATCGACCTATGTACCTGAAACGTGGTTTAAAAGAAGACCACATCCACCATCGACAACGAACTTGAATTATTGTACCAGGTGGTGGCCTTGGTATACGAAATTCAAACTAATTATTTCTTAGTATAGGCATGTCAGATACTGATAATTAAATTATTTTAACGATTGAAAATTCAGCTGTGATAAGTGGTCGCTTTGCAGGTGGTTCAAGTGATGATTCATCTCAATCTTCTGCACCACAAATGACTGGTGTTATTCAGCCTCATTAGCCACAACATCTCAGAATCATCATCATTTGCAAAGTTATATTGTTGATGATGATGATGATCAAGCTGATTTCGATACTTACACTGATAGTGGACTAGATACACCTGGTCGCCCATTATCTCCTGAAGCTTCTACGTCACGTTCAAAACGCTCTTCAAAAATAGGTTCGACAAAAACTAATAGTAAGAGACCAAACAACATTTCCTTTGATATAGCTGCTGTTGTACTATCTTATTTTTTTCTTGCCATTGTCTTAAATCATCCATATCGAATGGAATGATTTTATTTGGATTTTCGTCCAGTGGATCCGACATTGATTCTTTATCAATCGCTGCTTTCCCTTCCCAGGTCGACTGATCCGACATCGGATCCGATAGAAATCTGGAAATATCCTACAATCCGATACAATTCTATTGGATTCCGGGTCGAGGAATCGATGTCGTATCCTCAGTGTCGGAATCCTTTGAACTTCCGATGACATACAACGATTTTTCCTTGGAATTCATAGGAATCCGACACTGTGGATCCGACATCGATTGCTCGACCCGGAATCCAACGATAATTCTGTAAGATCGGGCAGGATCCGATAAAATCCTATTTGATTCCAGTCGGATCGGATGGATTCCGATAGGTGCCTACTGTCGGATTGCTCGACCTGGGTGTCGTAAAAAGTCGTATTGTACGCGACTTAAATCGATTTAAATACGTAATCACAAGAAACATACCAAGGTTTCTCTTCGAGCCAAAATAATATTTGAAATGGAGTAATTATTGATTAGAGACTGGGAAAATAATTTTCATTTTCATATATGGAATTGTGTAAGCAAAGAAAAACTCAAATTTATTTAGGACACAGAACTTAGTTTTGCTCAGTTCTTTCCAAAAATGATCATTTTTCACAGCATCGAACTTTCGGTCGTCGTGGCCGATCTTCAAATGTCGTAACAGAGGCGTTAGTAAAAAAATAACCACTCCAATTGTAGTAGCGATAATGAACACTGTTCAATTATCGAAGTCTCCAAACATGTGGTAAATGTTTCGGTCGACAATGCAGCCATTAGAGCTTTATTATCATAATCCACAGGGAAATTTTTAATTGTAAATNAAATTGCCTAGTTTCTCATGATAATTTTGGTGTTCAGACATTCTAGAATGACTCATATATCCCATGCACTTTTTGCAGTACACATAACTTTCGGATGAAATCCGAAGTTTCCACATTTATTTTAATCTAATAGTGATGACACTGATGTGTTTATTTTTTCAAATTTGAAAATCATAATGAAAGTATTTGAATCAAATCAGCATAGTAACAATAAAAGTTCACTTCTATACTAATGTAATGTTAACCGATACTCAACTATTAAGATAGATGATATTGATTTGTAAGGCGTATTCACATGTGATGTACGACGTCTGTGAGAGAACAAAGGTGTGAATGAAAGTGACACTAACATCGGCACTCCGCCCATCACTTAAGATGCTTGAAATGATGAATAATTGCAAGAGAATTTTAAAAATCTATAGATCACCATAATGCGAGACTTTCATATTTGTTTTATCTGTTGTCTAATGACATATAAATTCTTGTGTCATCATTAGCGATAATGTAAGTGCGTCTAGTCTACAATTGATTGCGTCATTGATCACGAAATATGGTGAAAAAAAGAATTTTCTATTCATCAAAAAACAAAACATAGAATACAATTGAATTCACTTTTTTTTATTATCTTATAGTTTTTCAGTTTTTTTTGTCTCTCGCGCATTCTTAGTCTATTACTAATTACTAGTGCAGACTGATAGAACAGGGATCATCTGTTACTTTTATACCTCATTACACGATCTCTAAATAAACTAATCCGAGTTGGCTGTCGCATGAGTTTGTTCGTTACGTTCTTGTCCCGACGTATGTAAGTATACTTGTATTGTTCATACACATATTGTAAACAGAAATATTCATCCACTAAAACATTAGTGAGTCTTATAGAAGTGCATGTCATTTGATCTGAACGTGTGTAATGTTGTTCTGTCTCCCTCCTGTCGAACAATAACTCGATGATGGTAATAAATGTCTGCTATCGATGACGATGATTGATCATATCATCTTGAAAGTCATATTATGAATGCAGTATCAATTTGGTGGCTACTTATTGTAGTCAATAAAATTATCTCTCCTGCCAATGCTAATTGGATTACAGGAAATCTTTGCTGGTCAATGCCATGTCTGAATGGCGGTTCATGTTTTGGATCAGCATATACATATCTTTGCATATGTCCTATTCATTATAGTGGAGCGTTATGTGAAAAACGTCTAGGTATAGATTTTTTTGTTTATTGCTATTTTTTGTTTTTGAAATTCTATTCGTATATGTTAGGTATTTGCCAAGAAAATCCATGTGGAAATCGTGGTTCATGTATTGAAACAAGTCTAACATCGTTTGAGTGTCGATGTTATTATGATTATATGGGTTCAACATGTGAACAGCATGTACCGAAACATACTCGTAATATATGGTCATGTAAGTAAAAAAAGTAGCGAATGAATTCTTTTAATTTTATTAATACTCTATTTATTAAATCATTATAGCACTTATACCTTCGCATACAAGAGTTTTATTTAATATGTTAAAAGATGCGTATTTTTCAAAAATAAAACAAAAATCAACAATTAGTTCAGAAACTGATCAGATAGATTTTATTGGTTTATTAGCGAAAAATGATTCCGTTGATTCTACATCTATACCAACAACAGAAGAGATTGATTTTACAACTGAACAAAATCAATTAATCGAATCAGAACATGTTATTCCAGCAAATGAAATTCAACTTGAAAAAATCTTCCCTAATCTAAATACTCGATCCAAATCAAACATGAATACCAATGAAAATTTTCCATTTCATAACCCAACTAAATTCGTAATAGATATGACTTCTACTCCTATAATCGAAAATCATTTGGTAACAACAGAAATCGAACAAATTCAAACTACAAATGAAAACTTTCTTCAAGAAACAACAACATCTCCAATAATAAGTTCAACATCGATTCTATCGCTAAATGATAGTATTACCGCCGATGATTTAACCACAGAAAATGTATTTGAACAAACAAATAATACCACTGAACCTATTTATATGACTACAACGGCAACAATAGATTCAACTGTGAATATCTATAACACAATGGATGATAATGATTCATCTATTATCAATACATCTGAACCACCATCAACGACCCGTACAACTACGATCTCTCAAAATGCACATAGTCAATTGCTTTATAATCTTTGTCGAAAAATTCTATCCCAACTTTCACCTAATGCATCATCATCTGCTGTCGCTGCTGAAATTAATAAAACTTTATTATCGTATTCATCACCTATAAATAATGATACGGCTGACAAATTGGCCCACTTGTTGAATCAATATCTTACTTCATCGACAACTACTACTACACGTATACCATCGACTGTAGCACCAATAATAATCAATGGCATGCGACCATCGCCAATGATATTACGACGAATCGAAATGGATGATGCACTAGATAATATGAATAATAACGACATTAATAGTGAAGATTCATTATAATCGTATACATTTTATTAAAAATTATCATTCGTAGAGAACAGTTTATTTAATTAAAGTTTATCTCTCTTTTCTTTTCATATAAACTTTTGTTCAATTAATAAATTTTATTCACTTGTCTATTAAAAAAAAAGAAAAAGAAGCAGGCTTTTTCGACATGCATGAATCAATATGTTCCCGTTCGGGCAAACAAACATGACATCCTTGACATACTGACAAATAATGCTAAGAGAACATGTCGTCTTTCGCATGTCATACAAAAGATAAAATACGTATAGAAATGAAAGAATGATCGTGTCGAGGATTAAAGGCTGACGCGAACATTATGTCATGATTAAATGTTCTATAGCAGAGCTCCGTGTGGGACGGGATGGGACGAACATTTTTAGAAAATTTTAAGCAGACAAGAAAGAATCAAAATCTCTTCCGATATGATTCTATGATATGCTTACTATCTCTCTCCATTAAAATTAAGATCGTTGTCTTAGATGACTTTTAAAAGCTGATATTTTCATTTTTTTTAAATATTTTTGGTAAATTGAACAACATATACTGAATATGTCTTAAAATATGAGAATAAAATTTGAAAGCGGTCACTTCCGTCAATAAATATAATTTTGATGGATAAAGATAGTAAGCATATAATAGAATCACATCGAAAGAGACTTCGATTTTTTCTTGTCTGCTTAAAATTTTCTAAAAATGTGTGCAGCGCGACCATAGTTTTTTGCTCACGGCCACGATCACGATGACGTAGATTTTGTTAAAACTAGTCATAGGCGAGTGGTAACAGCATTTTATTTTCATATTTTACTGATATTATGCATGTTCTTTCAGCGAACTCTACCTGTAAGTTCAAATGGCAAAGCTCTCACGCAGCTGATGATGGCAGTGCTTTAATTCAGGTTTAGGGACAAAGAAGCCTAATACGTAACCTCACATCTACTAACCGAGAGCTGTTTTCTCGTTTTTCTATTGTCTTATCGAAAATATCGGATCATTCCATCATTTTTTAGTTCGTTGCTTTTTTTCACGCTCAATTTGTCAATAAAATTCTTATAAAACTGCCATATCAATAAATCAGCAAATATTCCTTTTTTTTCCATAAAGATGTTCTATAGAAGCCTAGGCATTTCTCACGAAAAATTATACCTTAAGAGAAACTACTGTACTTTTCAAATAATTATTTAATCATTCATCTTTTGATAGAGAAACGTCGTATTAAATGGCTTTTTGGTAGAGTAGGCGCATGTAGGTAGAATACAAATAAGTCGTAGTAAATACCTGACTGTACATCCGTTGCATTTAATAGTGCAAAGAAACAGAAAGAATTACATAAAAAATGATTTAAACAACAATCACTACAATATAAAAAGACTGCGACGAACTAAATTATGAATGTAAAGATGAATGTCAATTATACATTTATTTTCAAAAGTAACTATGGCCTAACCAGGTTATCCGATCAATCAATACCGAGAAAAAAATCCCAGCTGGTGAATGACTGAACCTTTTTTTTTCAATATAGATTATCCTAATTGGCAACAAAATTTTCTATCAAAAAATGGTCAGCAGTCTCCATTTAAGCGCCTAGTTTTTATTTCGTAAAACTAAATGGTAAATGAACATTTTCTCTCGGATGAAATAATCAAAAACAAAATTCTATAAACCATTTTTCTCAACCGAAAACGAAATCGATAATATGAAATTTTTACTTCATTGAACTATTCGATATATGATAATAAAACTCTTAGAAGAATAATACTGCTGATATATTTTGAAAGACTTGATTCACTTATTTATATTTTAGAACGAGCATGACGTGGTTGGGGAGCGGATGACAATAATCACTGTTTGAAATTCTCATTTTTTAATTTCTGCAACGCATAGCAGTTCCATCTCTTTCTTCCTTATTCATAACTGGAATAGCTATTGCAAAAACAATTGGGAAAAAGTAAAATAAATCGAATTTTAATAACAAATCATTCATTCGAGAAGGATCTTTTGGAATAAAAATGTATGAACGATTTCGAAACACTTCATCTTTGAAGAATGCACACTTTTGAAAATTCGAAAAGATGTTCACGTTTATTTTAGACGTATAAATGCACATCCGTTTTTATTTTTGGGATACACTGAAAATTCCTAGTGAACGTAACACTATAGAAGCAATGAGTTCGATTGCTTTCATATGTTTTGTGTTATTCAAAACATAAAACGAAACATGTCTTTTATGAAGAAACAATCCATTAGAAAAAAAAAGTAAAACATCAAAATACATCATATTAAGGTCATATGTGTTATATATATATATACATCTAGAGTCAAATCGTTGTTTAATAGTACCTTGAATCTATTTAAAATGAGCGTGGGTGAGACTTTCTCGGCATCACTCGATTCTTTTTTTTTCAAGCTTTCAAGAATAATTATTTCTTTTTGCTTATGAGTCGATACTATTCAAATTCGGATGATGTACATTATGCTTCTCGCCAACGATCGGATGGTTTGCAAGCATCTGGTTGGCAATCACCATTACCAACGAATCATGTCATACCGATATCATCAGTAATACGTCTTGTTATTGACTGTCCGTTTGGGTCAAAAAAATGTGATTACTCAATTGATAAATCGCAACAAGGTCGATTAATTGTTACTGCACGTCGTCGACATACATGTAAATCTGATGACTTTTCTGCAAGTAATAAGGATAATAATATGGCTGTTCAAACATTTACAATTCCACCTGACGCTGATGTTGATCATTTAGAGTCTCATGTAGAACGTTACACAAACTGTTTAATAATACAAATTCCTCGTTTGTCTTCATCATATATGAACACAAGTCCAATTTCGACTCCATTAATTCGTCCGCCTGATTATTTGTTACCAACAACTGCGAGTACTACTTCTCAAGTAATACTTGGCGACAGTCAATTGCATAGAAATTATTATGACAATAATCGAAAACTTGAATATTTAATTGATTGTAATGGTTATACAGCAGATGAACTTGACGTATTTATTCAAGATTATGATTTAATGGTGCAAGGTAGAACTAGACGAGCAACATCACCGGTTCCAATACAAAGAATTCTATCAAAAGAATTTTCGCGCAAAATTTCATTACCAACTACAGTTGATTTGACAAAAGTTATATCGTATTTTGAAAACGGTCAATTACGAGTTGAAGCACCAATTAAACGTGAAATTTATTATCGTGATAATGCTATACTTTCACCCGAATCATTATCAACTGTAAAATACAGTCCGGTTCAATCACCAATACCAGGTACTCATCAACGTCATTATCGACGGCAGGAACGTGTTAGTCGTCATCGAGAATATGATCGTGGTAATAATGTTCGATCACTGAGTCCTGTGCAACGAACATATTCAACTGAAGGTTTTGACTATCCTGTGTATAGATCAACGAGAGATCTTGATATGGGCGATGATCTAAGACGAAGTCGTCATCAAGGAATGTACAAGTACGAACGGTATGCTAGCAATGGCGATGGTGCAAAACTACAGCCCATATTAACATCTGTTTATTCACCAAGACAAGAGGTTGCTCGCGCTAGAACAACACATCATTACTATCCGATGGATGAAGATATGCATTTTATGTACTAATTATTAAAATAACCTGCTTTTTATTATATAGAATAGTGCAATTCATTACTCATCCTATATTAACGCGAATATTATAGATTTCTATTTTCAATAAAAACAAAAATGATTTCGTTTTGTTTTGTTTTTCAAATAGTAGAAACATCGGCGATTTGCCCGCGAACATTTTCTATGTTTAGAGTTGAATTTATTAGAAAAAAAAGATATTTTTCCATGGTATTTTTATATTTTTTAAATATTAGAATAAAGTATGTGCATAAAAACAACTTGTTGCTGCATAAAATTAATTCGGCAAAAACAAAACAAGACGAAGAAAAGGAAAAATAAAACAAGTAAAAAGATATTAGGCACAAGCCTAAGATCAAAAATTAACCAAAACCAGTCAGCCACGTATTGGTCACGTCTTTTCATTTACTAAAATTTTCTTTCTCTTATCGCCTATTGAAAAACAAAGTTTACTTTATACAACTATTACCAACCAAAATAGTTCAGATGCTAAAACTGTCAATTAGAATAGAGTTCAATAAAAAACTGAAAGAAATCAATCGTTTTTTATTCTCTTCTATCATTCATTATCTTTGGGTCTTGAACTAAGTTTTGCTTTAGCTGCAAGCGGTGATTTTTGACTCCACAGATTTCCCCATTTGGTTTCATAAGAATCTGTAGTGAAGAATGGATGTTCTTTTAATTTCGTCATTCCACCTGTTTCTTCACTACCAAGTCGTTCTTCGGGTTTAAAACGCTAGAAAAGCACACGAAATGCATTTTATTTGAATGAGAAAAAACTGCCGATATCAGCAGTAGCACGGTTCAAAAATACGTACGACAAGTTTTTGTATAAGATCACCAATAGTATTTGGAAAATCGTCAGGTAATTTATAAGCAACACGAACTACAGCATTGAAAATATCATATTCATGACTAAACTAATTCAAATGAATCTTCCTGTTTCTGTCTATCAAATGAAAGATCACTTACTGGCCATGAAATAAATGTTTACCGGTAGCCATTTGATAGATAACACAACCAAGTGACCAAATATCAGATCTAAAAGCGAAGGCATTCTTTTCAAACTATGAATGACAATTGCATTTCTAACAAACCCGATATGCACCGGACCACGTTGTAGAATTTCAGGTGCTACAAATTGAGCTGTGCCAACAAATGAATTTTTTCGTTCGACTGATTTTTTCTCGCCATTTGAATTATCAGTTCCGTCTGTTGCAGATACTTCATTATTATCAATAATAACTGCAGAACCAAAATCAGTTAACTGAATATGCATATCATCAGTTAAAAGAATATTCTCCGGCTGGAAAAACAAAACAATTATATAAGCCAATTGCACGAAAAATCAATGATTTACTTTCAGATCTCGATGGATTATATTTCTAACATGAAGTTTTTCGAGTGCTTCAACAAGTTCAGCAGAATAAAAACGTACAATGTCTTCTTGAAAATGACCGGCATCATTGATGTATTGCAGAAGATCACCGTTCGAACAGTATGTTAAACCAAAATCTAAATAAAACACAGATACAAATCATCACAACATTTAATAAACTCATAAATAAGAATTTTTCTTCTGAACACCCCTTTGTGTTTTTTCTCTACGAAACAATTTTAAAAAAATGTGTACTTACAAAGTGTGCTTTCATTTTGAAATGTACAATAAAGTTTAACCGCAAAAGCGCAATCGTTTAATCGAGTAAGAATTTCTTTCTCTCGAAAAACTTCTGGAGTTTTCTTCAATCGTTTGATTAATTCTTTGTCGACCGCTTTGACTAAAACAAACCGTTAAAAGTTCCCTTTTAGAAAATGAAAAAAAAATATTCATACTAGCTAATTCACGATCTGTTGCTTTTTCAATGGCAAAAAATACCTAAGTAATAAAACAAAACGATCGATTGAAAATAGAATGTTTTTCTTCCTACTGTTGAATAAGAGCCAGTGCCAATTTCTTTTACAAATTTAAAATCTTTTACGGACTTTTTTGGAATATTTGTTGAAACAGAACTTGTTGCCATTGAAATAATGTTAATTGGAGTATTCAAAACATCAAACTCATTATATCATATACCAGTAGAAAACAAACAATACTTTCTATTGGTCTTTTTCAGAGCCAATAAAAATATTTCGTACGAAAAATATGGTATGATGTTCATATTTCATGGTCGTAACCAGTGTTTCCAATGGCAAGTGTACACAGCAAAAGCAAAATGTACAGAACATCTGCTAGTTTTGATTTACACTGGTATACACTTGCGCAGAAAAACAAAGTGTACACTGTACACTTTACTAAAATAGTTTACACTCTAATTTCTTTGATCTCTGAACCTTAAAAGCCGCTATAGTTTTAAATTAATTAAGTGTGATATTTTTTGTTCGCTAGTGATTAAAATGTTTGTTTCATGTGATCAAAATGTTTGTTCCATGAGATAAAAAATGGCGAAAATTATATTTTGTTGTCCAAATTGTGAAAATTGGACTTTTGTACACTTTGATACACTCTGCTGAAAAAAGCAAAGTGTAATGTACACTTTACTCACAAAAAGTAGAGTGTACTGTACATTTTGTTTTAGATTTCCATTGGAAACACTGGTCGTAACAAACAGACCGTAGATATTGTTATTGCTTCTGTTTTATTATTATATCAATCAACCAATCAAGGCATCTGCAGATATGACAACGTTTGCTCAACTTAAAGCGAATCTTCTTGATTCCTATCGAAACGAATTTCCTGATGATGAACCAACTCTGTGTTCATTTGCACCTGGTCGTGTTAATTTAATTGGTGAACATGTTGATTATAATGATGGTTTTGTTTTTCCTATGGCTATACCACTTGGTACTGTAATCATAGGCAAAGCACTAGATGATTCGGCTAATAACAAATGTTATATTCGAACATTATCAAGTAAATATCAATGAGATTCACCGGTGAATTCGGAAGCGCAATGCAGCTGTCGTAATTCAATTTGAAAAAGAAGTTTTTACTGAACCATTTTCATTTTCCGAAACCTTAGATCTATTGTTGTTGTTGTTTTTTTGTTCCAAGATGATGTCGATGAACCAAAATCGGTTGAAGTTGATTTATCAAAAGAAATCTCACGATTAGACTCACCCAAATGGGCTAATTATGTTGTTGGTGTACTTGCTCTCTTTTTGGAGCGTACGAAACCAACTAAAAAACAAGCATTCCGAATATTGATTGCAACTTCGGTGCCCATTGGTGGTGGTCTCAGTTCATCAGCATCCGTTGAAGTAGCCATGTGTACATTCCTTGAATTACTTTATCAAAGCTCTTCAGCGAACATTCCAGCACTATCGAAAGTTGAAAAGGCATTATTATGTTGTAAAGCAGAACAAATATATGCGAATGTACCATGCGGAATTATGGATCAATATACAGCATGTATGGCCGAAGCTAATCATGCGTTATTAATTGATTGTCGAGATAATACATCGAAATGTGTTCCAATGAAAGATAAAGAAGTATGTGTGCTAGTAACAAATTCAAATGTAAAACATGAACTAGTTGCTGGTACATATGCTGAACGTGTTAAACATTGTCAAGAAGCAGCAAAACGTTTAGGTAAGATTAAAATGAGTTAATTAGTAATCTTCACCGCTCTCATTAAACTATAAACGCGATCTAATTGTAGGCCATAACAAATTACGTGAAGTTTCATCGATGGAAGAACTTGAAAAAGCTCACGATAAGATGACACCTGTAATATTTAAACGTGCACGTCATTCTGTGACTGAAATACAACGTACAGAAGCAGGAGCCATAGCGTTAAGTAACAATGATTATCAGGAATTTGGTCGATTGATGTATGAAAGTCATGCATCACTTCGCGATGATTTTGAAGTATCATGTGAAGAATTAGATCAGCTTGTTGAACTAGCACGTTCTGTTGATGGCGTTTATGGCTCACGTATGACCGGTGGTGGATTTGGTAAATCAATTTTTCTGCAATTATCTGATTACGCATTGTTTCGTATTTAGGTGGATGTACGGTGACATTAGTTAAAAAATCATCGGTTACTAAATGTATTGATGCCATTAAAAAGGGCTACAAGGGTACAGCAAGTTTCTATGAATTTGAACCAAGTGGTGGTGCCTATTCAATTAGTTTATAAAGAAAAATACTCACGGACACATTGTTGTTATCTTTGTTTTACACGTACTTACTGTATTTATACTAATTTTTATTATGCAGGGGAATCTCAAACATAGACTTTTACATTAGATCGATTAGCCAATAAATAGTATATTAGATATAGTTAAAAGAAAGCGAACGCATTATTACATATAAATGTTTATTAGTAGAATGTGTATTATTTCAGAATTGAATAAGTATCAATTTGACAATTGATAAGATATTCGTATTGTAAAAAAATCCGTCATGATGAGGTTTCAATATTGTAAATAATACAGTATTTGCTTGTTAGATAATCGACCGTTTTTACAGTTTGGCAACAGTATGTATTGACATATATCGAACAAAAGCGAATGAAAACGGAACTTTTTTTTTGTGATGTATGGCTGCTTTTATCTTTGCATAGAAAATGAAATGAAAAGTTTTGAATTACATATACTTCAATAACGTATCACGTTCATCCGTTGCTGTCTGCATACTTAGACTTTTCGTCTGTTCTGAACAAAAACGTGCGCTTCGCTTTTTTCAGTGGTCATTTATGAGTGGCCCAGTAAAAATTGCAGACGAATACAATATTCAGTAAAATCATGAATTGGTTATTATTATTTCATTTCATTCTGATAAACATCTCAATAACGCTACTTATGGTGGGCTTTAGTACATCGAGATGGCTTGTTCATGTCGATGAAAATGCTACGGGAACTATCAGTGAATATTCCAAAGGAATTCTTATGGTCTGTCAACATCTCTACCAACAACATAATATTGATCAGTATTTAACAATGAACGAAATCATAAGCAGTAATAATTATATAAATACTAATTTCTATAAATGTTATAATCGTTTACACAAATGGCACAATCCGTCAATAAATGGACCTGAAATATTGGGTAGATTAAAATATACATTTATAATTATCAAAGTTTCTGTATACTTGTTTCTTTCTTTTTTTCCAATAGACTATCATAAACTATTAATTGTCACGTCGTTTAGTTGCATACTGATCGCCATTACTTCGCTACTTATCACTCAATTTGTTAATACAGAAAGATCCTATTATAAAATACAGTTTTCTAAATGTATAATTAATTGTTTACTAGCTGCTAATATTATTACTTGTATGTAAATTATTATATGTTTACTAAACAAATTGACATCTTGTTTTTTTTTCCTTATTCTACAAGGTATATTAGCATTGACTACGCTGGCATTATTTTTTGGCTTCGAACGTCTTCAAAATATTATCGATTATGGTTATTCATTTTGGTCATTTGTTGCAGGAACATGTTGCATATTTCTTTGTTGTATTCTCATAGGTGTTTTTCGTATTGATGTTGAATTTGAATTTCGTCGTTATTGATGCAAAAAGGTTGCCACACTCCTAAATGCATGATTATTCTAGATGTTCCTATTTCTTAGCAGAAGAAAAAAGCCAAAATAAAAAGGGCAAAGAGCACGCTCATTTATTTTTCTTCGTTCTCTATCTTACACGTCATTTTATTCAAGGGCTTTATTCGACGCAAGATGTCGAGCAATGTAAATGCAGACTAGAATATTTATGGTTGGAAAAAACGGAGAAAAAAAATTTTTACATTCAGGTATTGCGCCACCTACTATTTCACCACACAACGAATTTTTAATTGCCGTCAAAAACAACGAAACGTCATTTCACCACTTTTTTGAAAAACAACGTTTTTTTTTTTTTTTTTGAGGCAACTTGTTAGCCATTATGTCTGGCATGTAAGTCGTATTTCTGCAAAGTTCTAATCTCATTTGATTTAATTTATATAGTACTATCGAGAAAGTCAATGAAACAACTACTATTTTTAAAATTACTAATGGTTCGCTAAACGTAACTGTTAAACAGGGCAACTTGGAAGCAGAACTATGCGACGCTATTGTGAATCCAACAAATGAAAAGATGGATCCAGATGGAGGATTAGATAGCTTAATACATGATGTTATGGGTAAATTTTTCGCTGATCAAGTAGCAGCAGTCAGCGAGGAGATGGAGGGGAACGCATGCCCTGTTGGACAATCGCGTATATTTGTTGCAAGAACACGTACTAATCCGAAAGTAGCTCGTTTTGTCATAAACACTGTTGGTCCAGCTTATACACCAGAAAATGCAGAACAAGCCGCTTTTTATTTACAATCATGTTATTCGACATCGTTCGCATTAGCTAATGCGTATGCATTAACATCAATTGCCTATCCGGCAATATCATGTGGTGCGTTTCATTATCCTCCAGCCGAAGCAGCGCAAGTTGGTATTGAATCAATCAGACAGTATGCATTTAATGTTAAGGATGTTCGCTTCATTTTATATGAACCTAAAAATTATCAGATATTCGTTAAAGAATGGACTGAATATGCACAAAAAGTTAATGAAACATCTGCTGTTTCAGCAAATGCAAGAGGTCGACTCCGAATGACACCAAAACCATCCTCAGAATCACTCAATTCAGTCCGTTGCTCTCTATGTAATGAAAAAAAAGCACTAGCTACTGGAAAAATACTATGTGTTGATTGTTCACAATTAGCACGTTCAACTTTATTTGATAACTTCTTACAACGACTACGTACTGCTTCAGAAGTTTCATTTCAAGAAATTCAGAAAGTATGTAGAGTACTACAGCCAATATTCAACTACTATCCGATTGCATATACGCCCGCAAGAAAATATGATCATAGTATTCATAAACGTGATGCTGTTGCTGAACACTATGTACAGAGCTATTGCGATCATCAATTTCGTACAACAATGCCGATGGCAGTTGTTGGTGATGGAAATTGCTTTTATAATACATTTGTTAAATTAGGTGGAGCCGGCACAACAATCGAAACGTCGGCGATGACACCTGTTGAACTTCGTGCTCGCAATGTAGTTGAACTTGCCCTTCGTATGAATGAATACAAAAGTAATTATCAATCATTGGCATCGATTTTTGATGATTGTGAAAAGTATGTTCAATATGAAATGGTTCTCGATACAAATTATGCAGCTATTTGGGATCTCTTAAGTATACCGACTGTACTTAATATTAATGTTATAAGTGTTTATCCGAGAGTCAATGGACCTGATGATACATATTACCAACTGCTAAATAATAAAAAATTTAAACCATTAATAAGTTCTGGAACGATAGGCGAAGACAGAGAAGTCAAACTTCTATTTTCACATTGTAACAAACCGATTAATTTTGGAGTAAAAAAAGAAAATTGGACACCGAATCATTTTGTACCATTACTCAGTTTACGATGAGCATCAAAGATATTCTGTTTCAGTTAATTTATTTTGCACATTTGGTGAATAATGGATGTGCGTAATATTAACGTCAGTAATTTCATACATAAACGAGAAAAAATATATTTAAGAATTGTTGGTTTTTTGTAGATAGCTTTTGTTTTTATTTCGCGTACGATTTTCATAGAGGCGATTGAGCCAAATTTTATATCATAGGAGTTCTATTAAGAGGAGAGTACCAAAAACATATGGTAGAATGATCTGACTCTATAACTAAAACGAATATTTTTCTATTGTATTTCAAGTCTTGTTAAATAATCATTTGAGAATGCGATTGTTGACGCTTATTTGATCGATTTGAATAATTGAACTATAGGCCTGTAAGAAAAACAAGGGCACCACGTGAAATGAACGATTAGTTGAAGAAAATTGGACACACTAACTGTCGAATATGAAAACAGTGAATCATGCATGTCTGCAAGGGAAACTATCAAATATCGCCTGTGTTACCTTCGCTTAACACAATCTCATTTGGAAATCGACATGAGATAGAGATATCATCTAAACACGCAATTTACTATCGTGAATAATTATTTATCATAACGAATAGACTGGTTGATTTTTGGATTTCAGTTCTAATGAATTCGTCTTCTACGAGTTAGGAGAATGTAAACATCTACTTTTAATAAATAAAGCTGGTTGATTTTGCAAAACAAAACACTGTGAGCGCATCAAAACAAATGAAATCTCTGTATTCACATTATGCTTGTCTTTCAAACTAAACTATCGTTTTATTTTCATCAATTTGAAAATTTTCGCCATAAACAATAAACTGATGTACAATGTCTACTGGTGTAAAAAACTTTTTCTTTTGAATAATTCACAAATGTATCGCTCTGTGCGAAAGCTTTGTTTCGACCCATACCATTATAAAGACACGTCATTAGCATATAATCAAACGTCTTATTGTTTGTTGCTTCCAACACATTCGGTAATCGACATAAATGAAATCTGGTTTTTGATCTACACAGATCTTGAAGTTGTTTCAATTTTTTCTTCGTGCTGATCTTCTCCTATTAGTACTTTATAGTAAAATTCAAAACAATTATTTTTATCCCAGAATAAACGAAATTCCATATCAGTTTGTGTGGTACACTCTTGTCTGATGCTAATGATGCGATCGCAATACTTTTGATAAGAAAGTTATTAAAATGTTCACGTGTTTCTTGTTCAACTTGTTTAAAAATCGAAGGATATTCACCATCATAATGTGTAGGGGTGTCAATTTGCAGTTTATTTAATTTAAATTTAACTTCATGAAAAGTTAATTTAATTTTAAATTAAATTCTATCAAGTTAAATTTTAAATAAATTTAAATTTTTGTATCAGAAAAATTTAAATTTAAATAAAATTTAAATTTTCAGAATTTAAATTTAATTTAAATTTTCAGAATTTAAATTTAATTTAAATTAAATTTTTGAAAATTTATTTCTTGATTTAATAAATTTTTTTAAATTTAAATTTTAAATTTAATAAATTGTTTGGATCGATACACATAATTGCTATGAGAGAAATACGTGACTTCTACAGTAGTGAATACTAAATGAGAAAAAACCTTGTATTTTAGGTTAATATTTATTTATAATAGCCAAAATTTCTCTACAGATTATGCAGGATCCGTCATCTTTCGTCTTCAGAATACTGGGATACTCATAAAAATATATTTAATAGCACAATTCATAGAAGAATGACTAGTTTTAACTTTAGAAAACAGGAAACATACTCAAATTTGACTTTAAATAGTAGCAATCGAGTCAAAAACTATTTTTATCTGCTAGTTTTCAAAATTTAACTAATTTGAATTTCAAACAATTTAATTTAAATTTAGTTAAATTTAAATGGTACAAAATTTAAAATTTAATTAAATTTAAATTTAACTTTTCATTCAAAAAAAATTTAATTCATTTTAAATTTAAATTTTTGAAAATTTATTTCCCGATTTAATAAATTTTTTTAAATTTAAATGTGACACCCCTAATAATGTGCTAGTGCTATTAATCGAGATAATGTATTATTCGGTGCATTATTATCCGAGGGAATACACATAATTTTGTATACTCGAAATCAGAGAAAACAACATTCTTCCAAAATTAAAAATAATCAAATATTTTCTTTTTTTTATATTACTGCTTCATATTTGGACTATTTGTTTGGCCACCAAATATATTCTTCATCTCGAAGAATATTGGCGTTGCACGTTTGAAGTCATATATTGATCGGCTTTGCATTAATTGTTCAGCAAAGGCTAAGCATCGAAGGCCATGAAATAAATTTTTCAATATGTAATATTGACGTGTTTCAGTTCGTTGTCTTTAACTACGCTTTGAAAAAATGGCTTAAAACTAAATTTATACAAATACAAATCAGAATATCTTCCATCAAGAGCCGCTTGTTCTATTCTTAATGGATCATAATATTTTTCGAAATAAATTTTTGTAAAATTTATTTCTTCTTTGATTTTAAATTCATCGGGTAAAAACAAACATTGTACGCAATCTAGGCAGTTTTTTGAGTACTCAAAAAGTGAGTACACTACTAAAACCGGTCAGTGTGTCTGTCCGTTTATTCGATAACTCTTCACAATTACATTCGATTGAGCTGAAATTTTGTGCACAGAATTGTCTTATCAATATCTCGATCGAGTTCGAAGATGAGAAGGGTCCGCCAAGAAATGGCTGAGTTGTCGAAAAAATTGTCATTTTTTATCAGATCATCCCTGAGGGGGAGTACAGGGATTTGTCAAAAAAAACTTTTTTTTCTCAGAATTATCCACAACATATATAAATCGACTCAGTTTTTAACGCTGATTCTGAATCTGATATTAGTTTTGAACTAAATCGTAGCTTTCTAACGAAACATCGCCTGAAAAACGTCTCAAAATGCACAAAAACTGCATCCAGAAATCAAATTGCCTAGTTTCTCATGATACTTTTGGTTTTCAAACATTCTAGAATGATTCATATGTCCCATGCACTTTTTGCAGTACACATAACTCTCGGATGAATTCCGAAGTTTCCACATTTATTTTCTAGTAGTTTTTCGAAATTCTCAGATGAATGCACATAAATATCGTAGAGATCCCGTAATTTATGTAGAACAAATTCATGAGAATAATCAGAATCAGATGTAAACTTCAACGGATCTTGATGAATGAGACGTGCAACAACTATAAGGTCTCGATCCGACGTTGGCGTATTCGTACCATATGCTCATGAACCACGATTGTAAATATTGGCAACACGATCTTGACCTATACTAATTGCAGTCAAGATCAACGAAATGCCGGCACGATTCATCTCATGACTACGAAAAATATTGAATAGCTAGATTGGTGAAACAATATCGTCCTTTTAACATACACCAAAAAGTATTGCATTCGATTATGCCAATGTTTATGGCATACAGCGCTCTACTCAATTGTATGAATCATTCGAATAAAGATGAGGCAACAGTTCATCATCTGAAAGTGAGCCACGTCAAATTTTTCCTAAAATTTGGAGAATTTCTGAGATATTACCGGAATTATCACAGAATTGTGATCGTAATAAATATTCAGGAATACTTTTTCGCTGGATAACCATCTTGAGAGTGTAGATGGCTAAATTATTGTGCTCACTAAATATCAAAGTCTATCAAATAGACTACATCACTGCAAGTGTGATGCAATAAATATGAACAATACTGATTGATGAATATTTGTTCGTTTAATATTTTATAGTAAATATCGAAAGAATATCACCGGACTAAAACGACAGAAGAAAAAGGCACACTCGTTTTCGTTTCGAATTTATACATCAGTTTGAAAGAAAGAAGATAGTCTATTGGATTTTCTTCGATGATGTTGACCATCTGTAGCATTACTTGTTTTCATGTCGTCATTTTTTACTTGTCTTAGAAATTGTATTGGAGCTGGATTCACTGTACTACTCAATCGATGACATTCGATGTTATCGAGACCAGTATTTGTTAATTTATGTGCTTCGAAAATAGAAGTTTTCTAGAAGATTTTATTTTCAATGGTTAACACTTACTTTTAACAATTCTAGCATAGATAGCTGCTTTTGGTAATGATGATACCGATGTACACATACCATTATGATTAATCAGACATGAATATTCATGATCTCGATTTGCATTTGAAGATGACAACAGAATCCGATCATTATTATTATTAGACACATCTGATGATTCGGTTAAATTAAGATAATTTTCTTCGGCGAAATTTTCTGTTAGATTCGATAAGGAATTCAAACGAACTTGATAACTTATTTGATTATCTGCGTTTTGAGCATTAAAATAATCTTTGTTTTTGCAATAGAGAAAATTTTATTTACTAAATTAGAATAAATGATAATTAAAACTTACTTATTGGCGATAACGAGTCTAAAAAAACAAAGAAAATAAACATAAAAGTAGATTAAATTATTACACTTACAATCGAATAATTCTTTTGCTTGTGGAATATATGCGTTATCTAAATACACGATATAGACATAGATTGATAGAAATAGATTAAATCACATCGAATAATAAAAACTAACCATAATCAGTGGCACTATCATTAATAAAAGGTTCGTCGGATGGAACAGTAATTTGATCACTAGTCGAATAAGATTTTGAGTCATACTAAATTCAAAAGCACATACATAGATACATTTTCTTTCGCTTATTAGAGTGAACTTACCGAACGACGATTCAATGATTGGTAAGCTTGTTGGTTATTCTAGTGACAATTAAATTAAATTAGAAATTTCACAATCTACTTTAAATGAAGTCGTATTGAAAAACTCAGCTGTTCAAGTACTTTTTGCATAAGGTAGAGTTCAGTAAGGTAAGAAAGATCGCGTTATGTCTTCCATGTAGAATTAAAGGAATTTTACTAGAATTTCGACGTGTAGCACCGTATAAATAAAAAGATCTGACTATGACATTTCGAACAAAGATTCTTCTCAAACACAGATCTATTTATCAATAGAATACCATGAAAATTTCATTTCAAAATACAGAAAATCGCAGCATTTTTGTGGGATACGAGTAGTATCTTAGAAATTCGACATTATTTTAAAACGAAATTTTCAAGATCTTCTATTGACAGATAGATCTGATACCTCACTGAGCTGCATCGCATACAAAAATTCCGAACCCCGGGAGCACTGGAATAATTGAAAACGGTTCCTCGTTGGTGCAAAAATTCATCTTACTCTATTATTTAAATAATCCATTATTAAATTTCTATGACCATTATTATCCCCATAGGACATAGTTTCAAATGTTTGTCTTCCATTGTAATTCAATTTGAGTAACGTTTGTGTTGGATTTTCAATTGGATCTGTTGATGATGATCGTTTATTAATAAGTAATGGTGCTGAAACTAATGGTTTACTTTTTATCGAATTATCTTTTCGTTTTCTACAATGGCAAATAGCTAATACTGATAATATACACATAAACAATGGAACAATAAATACAATATATAAATATCGTTTTATTGATACCGATAACGGAACAATCGACAGAACGCATGTAAATAATTGATTAGAATCAGTTAGTAATGGTATACATTGTTCATGATATTGGCATGGATGCCTTTGACAAGGATACAAATCCAATTGGCATTGATCCCCAGCAAAACGTGACTGTGAACAATTGCATGTAAAACTTAATCCATGATTTGTACATATTCCACCGTGATAACATGGATGATATAATGAGCAGATATCATTTGTTTTTGAATATTTTCGAACGATCTCTGTCAATAGACACCCTTTGTTTGTACCAATAAATTCAATCGAGTCGTTTTTTTGTTCGAGAAATATCATTTCATGATTGAATGTTATATTATCTAAACAGCCCTTGAAATCGCTGCCGATCATTAATTGTACAAGAATATCGGAATGAATTTGTTGTGATAAAAGTATTTTATCACTAAAAACATGATCAAGCCGAATAAGATAATAGTAATGAGAATAATCGATTGAAAAGTAAATATCATGCCATAGGCCATCATTGATTAACAGTTGATTTAATTGTAAGAGAATATTTTCATTGTAGTCAACATTAAGATAACCATCAATAATTTGTATAATTATCAAATCATGTGTCGTTTTAGTTGCATTGAAATACATTAATTCAAGTAATTTACCGTCTGTTGATTGTGTACGAAAACTAAATGATACCTCTATACGTAGTGGCATGTTCGTGGTAAAATTTATTCGTACTAAGCTATGACCATTGAAAGTCAATGCATTTGATGCGTCTAAACAAATAGGTAAAAATAAGCAATGCTCTCATGCCCGACACAATCGTTATTACTCAAAATTTATTGAACTGTACAAAGAAATTTCGCCACAAGAGAAGTACGCATATAGTTTACTAACGTGAACATCATTCTTATTGGATGTTTCTCAAATATGAATATAACTTCCTCAAAAAATATCGTGGAAAGGTCGACAATGTGAGGTTGGCTATATAAGAAAAGCACCTCCATTTCTAGAAATCTTTGTTTCATTCAATTTGATACTCCTATCGAACTAAGGATATAATAAATGGCATCATTCTGGCTCGCAATATCTAAGTCAGATAAATAATTCAAAACCTACCACGACATGTTGGCGAATTAACATTGATGCATTCAAATGAATTATCATCAAGAACAATATTATCATTACATAATTCATTTACACATTGACAGGAATATAATGTTGAACTTTCTTCAATGCAGCGTTCCATTAATGAACAAGGATTCGATGAACACGGAGATTGTTTATCATGTTTTAACTCACAGCGTTCTCCATAGAACGAATTCATACATAAACATTTTATATTCCATTGATATTTTGGTACTAAACTTTGATATGTATTCGAATAAAAATATTTATACTGATTATATAATAAACTAATATAACTTGTACAATGAGCATTGTTCTCACATGAATTTGCGTCACATTGATTCAACAGAATTTTCTCAAAAATATTCGTTGAACTTTTTAATTGATTATAAAGAACTTTCTTGTGTATGTAATGTTTCGATATTGAATGTAGAATAGAGACAAGTAGTTCAATTTGATTTTGTTTTAATTCATGTGCATAAATATGAACATGATCGATATTTACATCCGTAATTTCAGCTAAATGTTGACGTATGGAGGATAAATTATGAATAATAAATTGTTCATATGTTAAATTAGACGGAATATTTATTAGTAAGGATATTGTTCGATCTAACATGTCACGATAAATAGATCGAAGTTGAATATTAATCGTTTGAAATTGAATATTTGATGGGAAGAAAATTTGTGTATTATTTTGTAGAACAAGTCCAGGTATTGGTTTCGGTATAGCCATCACTGTCAAACGTATTCGATATTCGGTAGAAGCTGTTTGATGTAGTGGTTTGAAATAAAGTTCAGTCTGATTATTTGATAATTGTTTGAGAAAAAAGTTCTTATTGGCTATTAAATTAAAATGGATGTACTCATACTGTGCATGATTTTCAATAAATAATTGGCCGAGATTAATGGGAAGAAAGTTTTCTTCAAAATTTATATAGCCTTGAATGGTTTGTGATGTTATTGTTGGAAAATCAATTTCATCGTGAAGATAAATTATAGAAAGATCTAAATCTGAGAAGAATATATTATCATCCCAAATACGAATAATTAAATTATCTTGACGATTGTTTAGTATAGGCCTATTGAGAAGAAGTTCGATTGAATCGGAATAGGTACGAAGAGTGTAAGTTGAAGAAATATCATTAATAATTTCGTAGGTTAAATTTGATTGGTCTTTATCAATAAAGTCAATTTTGTAAAGAATTGTGTTCATCGACGGATAAAAGAGATATAAAAGTCTCGTGAAATTTTCAGTTAGAAATTCCGGAGAATTATCATTTAAATTACGAACATGTATTGTTAGATTCATTGAGGTGATGAATATAGACTAAATAGAAAGTAGTTTTTTTTTCATAGACGTTTGAAATAAAATATATAACAGAGTATTCTCCATTTTCAAATTATGCTAGAGGAGAATCTTATTGAATGCTGCAAGCTTTTACAAGGATTTCCAGCGCATGCTAGAGCTCATACTAGCGAATATCTGATTTTATAGAGCATTATTTACTGTGACTGAGGAGTAGCTATTTTTCGGGACATATTTTCATTACCTGATTCATTCGATCTTTTACAATTATCGATACATTATATTCGTGTTTATCAATTTCATAATCAAATATTTTTCGATTAATAACAGTTCCATTATTAGATAAAATACCAAATGTATTCGTCGGATCCATTAAATCATAGATAAAATCGATGGAATCTTTTCCGATCGTACAAATTTTTGTTCCATTAGGTTGGTTTTCGTCAATAAAACATCGATTTCTATTTTCCAGTGTAAAATAAATATAATCATCATTTATAATCGTTATACAAACATTTGTTCGATCAATTAAATCAATGTCATCTTCATTCGCTTGAACAGTTAATGTTACGCTTGTCATCGCTGACGGAATATATGCATTCAAACGAATATCTCCCGTGTGTTTATCAATGGAAAAAATAAACGAAGAATTCATTAAATAATAACTTATATTTCCATTCATTATTGGATCATAGCTGAATGCCATTACTTGAAAAATAATTGTTCCTGGCTGAGTAGATTTATTAATACTGATTTGATACAGATCTTTTTCAAACACTGGTCCATGATCATTCAAATCATTGATAAAAATAGTGAATTTATCGGTTAGATTTTTCTGATTCGTACGATCAATGGCAATAATGTCATATTGCAATTTTTCTCCGTGAATTTCTCGATCGAGTTTATCAAGCAGAATAATTGAACCAGTTGTTACATCGATTGAAATTTGCGATGAAAAATTGCGAAGATAAAATTTATATTCGAATAAAAATAGTTGATCAATATCGATTAATTTTATACGACCGATGTAGATAGGAATAAGATTATTTTCATTGAGATTATAGATTAATGATTTTGAATCTAATTTTATTGCGTTATCATTAATATTAATTAGCTTGATTACTATTGGAAATGAACAATGAAGTTCGTTCGGCTCGAGAGTAATGAAAAATGAGTAAATATGTTTTTGTTCATAATCGAGACGAGATTTTGAAGTTAATAAACCTGTTGAACTGTTGAAATGAAATAGTTGTGCATCAGAGTTACCGATTAGCTGCATATTAATTAGTTCGACCAAGTGTGAATTATTATTTATCATTAATAGTACTTCTTTGATACTTCCGATTTCTGTATCAATGGGAGATTCTTCTTCGATCATCCATTCAATTGGCATCTAGATAAATTAATATTTACAGTTTCTTGTCAGCAGAAAATATAGAAAAATAACTTACTACTGGACAGATAAAATACGACCAATTCGGTGATCGAACAATTGATATATTAGTACGACAATAGGACTTTGATAATGACGACATAAGAATAATTAATTCAAAGTAGTCATCAGAAGTTTGATTGAGTATTGACGAAACTAACGAAAGTTCGCCCAAGTTATTTATAGAAAATAGGCCGTATTTATCTCCGGAGAGAATATAATAATAATTTGAATTTTTATTATTCAGTTGGATAGTTTGAATGATTGTACCTAAGAAAAAGAAATGATGAACTTTGGGATTTGAAAATTTCCCCTTTGTAAAAGATTTCATGGGTCTTTCTAATCGTATGGAAGATGGGTTTGTCTTACCTGGTAGAGTTTGATCTGAAATCAATATTGATGTATTCTGACATGCTGAAATCTCCCTAGGTATACTAAATTGTTGATTTGCTTTATTAAATATAACATGAACGATAGCAGTATCGTTAAATAGTGTTTTTTCATCGATTGCATAAACGAATAGTTGAATACGATGGAATGTTTTCATTCTATTGAAATCATATTTAAATGATAAAATTCCATTGGTTGGATCGATAATGAAACCATAGGGATTCGTTTGCAATCTATAACGAATTTCATTAAAACTTGTTGCAAATACACGAATATTATCGGTATAAAAATAGTAAATGTTCGATGAAAATTTTGGTTTGATACTCGAATCGATAAATAAAACTTTTATTTGACTTAATGATATTGAGTTTTCGTAGATTAATTGTATTTCAAAGAAACATAAATCTGATAGGATGGGAAATTTTTTAAAAAATAATTTATTTTGTTTGATATAAAAATTTTCAATGCAGCTGCTTCTCGTTAATGGCGTTGAATTTATTATTAAAGTAGAATTTTTCTTCGCATCAAATTTTTCCATAAAAGAATTTTCTTTTAAAATTGCTTTTTCCATAGAAAATTCATAGAATTTTTTATTCAATGTGAAATTCTTTGTAGCCATCCTTATTTGTATTGAAGTTTGACATGTAAAATTTTTCCAATTGCCATAAATATTAAAATGATAAATTTTCGATAGCATCAATTGTCGTTTCAGTATTAATTTATTTTGAGTAATTTCAATAAAACTTGTTTGATCAATGCGAAATCGAGTGAACGATAACGGTTGATTTAATGAATCAACAAGTTGCAAATGAAAAATTTCGTAAGGAATTGTCATTGGCGGAGTCAACGAAATGAAATATAGATTTGAAGTGAATTGCGGTTGAATAGGAAAAATAATTCGAACTTTTGTATAGACTATTTGTTGAGCATAATCCGATGCCGAAGCAAAAAATTCGATGGTTTGAGGGAAAAAATCTCTATGAATCATAATTAAACCAGAATAGGGATCAATCGTAATGCCATCGGGCTCGAGATAGAGTTTATAAACGATTCGATCATCTGGATCGAAGTCATACGCTAAGATCTGCCCAAGAATTTTATTGTATTCAAATGCATATTCATCTGAAGAAAATGTTGGCCGATGTTTCGAGTAATAACGGATAGTAATTGATAGATGAGTTTTCGTTAAGTATAAACCATCACCAACAGCAATTTCTAATCGGATGAAAGTCTGATTAGAAGAACAGTTTTGTGTAATTATTCCAGTTTTTTCATTGATTGAAAAAAAATTCCGTTGATTTTTATCAAGAAGATAAAATTTGAGATTTTCATTATCCGATGGGTCAAGATCATATGCAGATAATTTTGTTACAAATGTATCTTCAGATGAAATTGTTAAATTTAATGGAAAATTAGAAAATATTGGACGATGATTATTATAATCAAGAACAGTTAATTTAATAATGAGTATTTTGTTGATTGGAGAAATATGAATTTTAAAGGAATAAAATTGATCAGATAAATAATTAATCAGAGTTACTCGTCCGGTATTTGAATCGATTGTAAAAAGATCAGAATTTGAATCGTGTAATGAATATTGAAGATTTTCCGCATTAGACATATTTGGTTGAAAGATGACAGAGTCAGGTGGAAGAATTTCTGATATTCTTAGAAAATAAACTAGAGAAGTGAGTGAAATAAATTCCGGCTTGAGTATATGAATTGTTATATTGATTGTTGTATTTTGTTGATAAATTAAATCTCGAGCTATAATTTGATATTCCACTATTGTTTTATTGTCGTTGTAGTTATTTGACATGTATTCAATAATGCCGTTATCAGGATTAATAGTAAAATGTTTTACTGGCGAAACGAATTGATAGACAAGTTGGCTTCGATTGATATTATAAGGTTGAGCAGATATTTGGCCGATAAAAATTGTTTTATTTGTATTATTTGTAATATCAAGTGAAAATATATATGATTTTTGAGAGAATAAGGGAGCTTTACTTGAAATGATGTCGAAATTGATTAATAAACCGTTGCGAAGTTGAACGAGTCCCGATTGCTGTTAAGAGACAATAAAAAAATTTTAATTTTTCGTATTTTCTTCTATCGTGTAATCAGAAAATGCTCTGGGTTGAACGAGTGATACAGAGAAACTTTTGTCATAGACGAGACTCTCACAGCTATCTTATTTTTCTGAGTTTGATGCATCGATTTTCGTTAAATAATTTCGAACAACTAGAGTTTGAAATATCGGTACAGGAACGAGGAGAATTTCTCTTTTGAACGACGTCATCTAGTCAGTAGTTTTCGTTTTCTATTGAAAAACTATTTCAAACTGTAAGTTAATTTTTCATACCTTTTTAAAATCTGTTAACTTTTCAATTTCTCTGTCTAAATTATTTCCTTTCCTAATCATCATATACGGTATTGATGAAAATCCATTGAATGTAACTAAACAACGTGAATTTTCGATTTCAATCAAAAGTATTAAATCATTCATAATCAATTGCTTTTGATTACGATACCGTAGGAAGCCATGTTCACGTTCCAATAGAAATAAATGATTATAATTCAAAAGATAACACGACTTTTTTCTCGAATGATTTTTATTCCCATTTAAAATTTCAATAACACCAATTAATTGATCGTCATTGGGAAGATTGAATGTATTCAATGAACAATGAATTGTTTCTTTGGATAAAATATTAATTTGAACACGATTTTTTCCAACAAGAAAAGTATAAAAATTTCCATTTGCTAAAATTAATGCCTGATTTCTAACAAATAATCTTCCAGTATGATCAATAGAAAACATCGATGAAATTTTTTTATTGGAGATTCTAAGATTTGTACCGAATTCATTCAGATATCCAATAGTATAATTATTAACAAATGGTTTATACAATATAAATTTGTAATTCAATTGTTTAGAATCTTTAATAAAAATATTTAAACGTGTCGATGCAATTAAGGATTGATATCGTGCGAGAATAAGAAGTGAATATTTAATAAATGAATTTTTATTTTGAATATATTTTACTCTTCCAACAGATTGGTCTAATTCAAAGGATTTAATATTCGTTTGATTCATCAATTGATACGTAATATTAAATGAATCTGTATATTGATTTCGATTTTTTATTGCGAGTTGCGTTGGCTCTTGATTGGAATAGACAAATGATTTAGAATCGAATAAATTATTGACATAACCATCATAAAATTCTTTTTCAAATACAAATTCAATGGTTTCATTAGAATATTTTATTTCGAAATCGATTAAACACGTGGCAAGATACGCAGGGGTAAATGTATCCAAACCGTGAATAATGAGCGAATCATAGTGGTGATATTTTTGACCGGTTAACGGATCAATACTATTGGGAGGGATGGATTTGTATGTAAAAAGATTCGGAGAAGTATTTGAATCCAAGGGACACGTGAATTGAAGACCAACATTCGAAATAAATATAGTTACAATACAAAATATGGGCTTGATTTGTGATGTATCAATGATAACTAATTCAATGGGATAAGTATAAGAGCGAGAACGAGATTCATCAAGAAGAAGTATCGATTGATTAGATGAATCGATTGAAAATAGACCTAATGGATCACCTAGAATAAATATTTCAATGCGTTATAGAACAAATTTTCCTAGTCAAGAGATGGTGTTTTTTGCCGCTGCGCTAAATTCTCATGCAACGATTTACTGTAGCTATTAGGTTACCTTCGATAATTTGAGCATCTGGTTTTATTCGTTGTTCATCGTGACCATTACTAATTAATTCCAAATCAATTAAATATTTTTTTTGATTTTTTATTAATGAGGTTTCAAATATAACTAAATAATTATCTTGACTAAATCGATATGAATAATCGGTTTGATTTTTCGGAGTTTCCTCATCGACAATATCGATGTGTAAACGTGCATAGGCGATTTGTGAAAGATTTTCACAGCGATGTATTATAGTTAATAAATGTTTTTGACTCATCGATTTTCCTAATGATTGAATATTAGTTATTGAACCTGACTTTGGATCGATGCGAAATAAATTCTTCGATTTAATTCTTTCAGCTGAATGAATATGATATGTACAATTATCCAATGAATTCTCAATGGTTAATTCTGTTATGCGACTACCGATTGGAATCGTTCTTGACACAGTAGTATAATAATCCACTCGAGAAAAAGAAATCAATGGATGTCTATCATCAATAATATGAACCATCACCTAGAAACAAGAACTTATTTACTATGCGAAAGTCATGTGGCTTCAAAACAAAAATTTACTTTAATTGTAGCCATATGAATCCAATCGTTCGTTGTATTAATGTTAAGTTCAATTTTTGTTGTTCCATTCATTAATTCTTCAACAGGACGAATAAGAATAAGTTCACCAGACTGAAAATTTACATGAAAATAACGTGTATGATCAATAGGGCCGATCATAATGAACCATTGTGTACGATTGCTATTGATTTGAAGTTGTACTAATGTAGAACCAACTTTAGTTGTTGCCAATAAGTTAATATCAATAGTCGAATCATCCGTAAACGATAATGAACGATCAAAGACGTTTGCAGGTAGAACACGAATTTTTATTGGTAAAATAATTCGAGATGAAACAACACGCCATTTACCACGAATCGAAGATTCGCTAAGAATAATTTCATCGTGTTCAACATCATCACGATATGCAACTGTAAATGCCTCAACCTAAATGAAATAGATAATTTTAGAGATTTTCAAGATGGAGGTTCTTTTTTCGTACGCTAAATTCGTAGATTTTCTTAGGTTCTAATATTTGTTTCGAAGCTATGTAACCACTTTGACGATTAATAATAAAATATTGATTAGAATCCATAATTTGATAACGTACTTCAATATTTTTATCGTATACTTTATGATCTAATAAAGCAATAACTTGAAACAAACGTTGTCGCAATCGTTGACTATTGAATGAAGTTTCAATTAAATCAATATAATATATTGGTGAATAGAAAAATGTTGGTGTTAACTGATTTCGTCGAATCAGATTAACTTCTAAATAACAATCAACCGATAATTGATGTTGCCTATCCAGAGCTTCTATGGTTAACATATAATTCGATAGTGCTATATGATTAGCTGGATTCAATTGAAGAGAGCCCGTTTCTTTATCAATAGAAAACATGTTTTTCTTTATACTCTCATTGACTATGGAATATTGAAATTGAACATCACCATAGAATGATAATGCTGAAACACAAGCAAATATCGATGGAATTGAATAATCATAAATCTTTACATTCTGATAAATATCAACGCATTGCGGCGAATAGAAATTATCTTCTCGGACACTTATATGAACATGAACAAATGAATGTGGCGGATGAGCACGATACCGAGTTAAACGAATCGATAGCCAATACGTTGCATTAGACAGATCAGCTGATGAATGAATAAGTCGAATCGAACCTAAGTAGAATAATGAAAGAGGCTCATTAATGATTTACGGTTGTAGCTATTATTTCACAATTGAGGTTCGTAGTAATGAATTTCTCGATTCTAATTTACAGTCTGTCTAAGATCGCGAAATTATTTCCCCCTGTGAAAAATTCGTTACATCAGTCTTAAATCATTTAGGAATGATCTGTCACAGATAAGTTCTCGTCGCCATTAAGAAATAGAGAGGATAACGATTAAAAAGAACAACTAATAAATCGTAAATAAACGAATTAAACTGAATAGAATCTATCAGATAAACGCGCAATACCTTGTTGATCAATGGCAAATGGCATTGCATTATCATCATGAATGATATCAATGAAATCCACCGATGATTCTAAAAGTCGAAGATCATGATAAACATTGGTAACAATTGTTCCTATAGGTAACGATCGATTAATCATTATTTCGTAAGCTGGTTCTCGTAAAAGAATTGGCTCTTGAATTTCCGTAACACGTATTATAGAAATAGAAATATCTGTGTAATTCACATGTAAACCATCGGATACTTGAGCTGTAATATTAATAGTTTGATCAATCATGTGATATATATTATGTTTCAATCGAAGATGACCAGTGTACTGGTCTATTTTAACATATGGATTTGGATCGATTGAATAAATTAGGTTATTCATGGAGTCGAAATCGATTGCATGAATTTGACCAAATATTGTATCGCGTGGCAGATCAGAAAAAAGCTGATACGTATAATTGGCCAGTAAAAATCGAGGAATATTATCATTCATATCGACTATGGTGATGTGTAGTGTCATGCAAATTGACTGTAGTTGTAGTTGTTGGCCTTGGTCTGAAGCGATGATGTATAATTGGAGAAAAGTTTTTTTTTCGCGATCAATCTGTTGAATTAAATCAATTTGTCCAGTGTGAGAATTAATAGTGAAATGTTGATTGTTATCAAGTAATGAGTAGACAATCGTACCGCTGTCACCTATGAATTTATGAAGATTGTATATTAGTAGAATGATGAAGAAAGTTCCGATTTACCTTGATCAGGATCAATGGCTTGAACATGGAAAATATTTGTTTGTATTTGATTTTCGTTCAGGTAAATATGTTTATGAAATTCGTCGCAACGAGGAATATTATCATTGACATCGTTGATATAAATTGTTACGAGAATTTTTTGATAATATTTGTTTGAATATTGAAAATGAAATAGTGAGCTTCCTTCGGGAGAACTGTTTATTTCTTGTAATTTCATTGCATAGGTAGGTTTTAATTCTAATTCTATTTCGAATGTATATCGGTCTTGTTTTTCACGGTCAATAGGCATTATTAGTTTAATTGTTTTCTCATTTTGATCGATAGTAAATGGTACCGATGTATCATTAATTGTATAGAAAAACAGATTATCTTTTTCATTATTAATAAACAAAGGAAACGAATCATCTTCGATTATTAAGCGATCGATAATTGTATTTATTTCTGCATCTTCAGCGAGATGATAAAATGTTGAATTTCGATTAAAGCCAATATTAAGACAGATTATCTTCGTATTTGCAGGATAACTAATAAACATAAAAATGAATAGTGTGAGATCATTTTTTGAAAATGTTTCAAATGCTGCTGTACGGAATTGAAGAAACAAATCGATTTTTTTTCGAAATTTCAATGCCTTTAAAAAACAAAACAGACTTTTCGGATGAAACTTTCGAAAAAATGCCAATTTAATTTTCACAAATTCGGACCAACTTTTCTGCTTCGAGCACGAAACGGAATAAGAATCTTACCTTTGTTCCGGTAATATTGAAATTGATTGGTTTGCCCATAAGCTCGTATCCGACGATTTTCCTGTTAAATCTCGTCTAACTAATTTTGATGATAAATCAATATATATGTCAATTTTCGCTTCAAAACTAATCGGTTCGCCCCAATCGAACGCTACAATTTGCAGATGATAAACTTGTGCTTTATTGAACTTTTCTTGCTTGCGTAGCTGTAGAATTCCACTATTCGGATTAATTTCAAACGGACAATTAGTAAAACAATTTCCTAAGCAATATGTAATGCGCCCATTTGTTTGTTTATTTTCATCCAAATCAAAGGCTCGAAATTTATATGGCAATTCATTGAGTTCGATTAATGTTTGATTATGAAATTGAGGTCGATGTTTATTTATTTCAATAACATCAATTTCAATAGTAGTTTTTACTGAATAACGTGCGCTTGAGAGATAAATATCAACTTGAATATCTAAGATATATATTTGGCATTTCAAATATTTACCAAGGCGTAAAATAGAAGTTTTTGGATCTAAATTGAATTGAATATGATTATTTAATAATTGATAATTGATAATTAATTGTTCTTCAGGAACAATATGATTATATTGAAGTTGAATATAGGTTAGAAATGAATTTTGTGGTAGATTTTCTTCGATGACGATTGGTTGAATTGTTTTGACATCAAATTGAAATAAATTCCAATCGATTGAATAAGTTAAATCATAATTTGCATATTGACATTGCGTACGATTAAAGAAACAAATGAAAAATTGAAGGTTATATTCTTGCGAATAAAATTTATTTAGATAAATTTTATTTTGATGAAAAACTAATTCGATTGAATTCGATGACGAGTTCAATAAGAGAAATATTTCAAAGAATTCTATCCGAGGTAATGTTTGAATAATTAAAATTGGTTGATGAATATTATGATAATTCCAATTTGTATTCTTCTTAAATAGAATTTTATATGTTGAAATCACGTCTTTGAATTCAATGATCTGATTGAAAATTGTTTGTATTCGGTGTAAAATTTTATTATTTTCTTGAAAAATTAATTTAACATGCGCTTTCGTTTTTATATTATTATTAACAAAATATTTCCGATGACGATCATATGCATGAACATCAAATTCATAAATCGCTTGTAAATTATCATTATTCGATACTAAATATAATTCTCCTGTATAGGGATGAAGTGAAAATGTATCATTGAATGACGATGATAGTTCATAAAGAATTTGTGCATGTTGAATTTCATCCGCATCACTTGCATGAAAACTTATCAGTGATTGTTGCATTTCAATAGGCTCGGTGAAATTTTGTTCGTATGCGTCCAAATCGAACACCGCGTCGTTATCATTGGAATCGGCTACATGAAGGTGAATCTAACAGATGAGAAATGTTATACAAGCAAAAAAAACAAGAATCTAGAATTCCGTTTGTGAAGATTTCATCATTCTTGAGTTGTTCAAAAACTTTCATTTTTCTGTCAATCCAATTTCATTATCGTACTCAGAATAGAATAATAATTTAAAGATTGTTTACTGCTCGAGTGCGGAGCTATATCTTAGTTCATTGTCGGTTAAAATTATATAAGTCGGATCAATAGTTCTAATTGAACGAAGAAAAAAAGCTTATATCGGTTTCAGGAAATTGTGTATTATTATCTCCGATATTATGAATTTAACAATGGAAGTAGGTCAATTGTCAAAATGACCAAATGAAGCTGTAGTTCCGATTAAATGTTAATTAAAAATAATATTCCGTCATAGAATATCCGTATTCTCTAGGCAAGTAAAACTTATTAACCTCATATACGTAGCTAAAACGCTTTAGTCCCTACAGGAAAACATGTTGCGTTTTGACAACATGCTACTAAAAAGGGTTAACAGACATGCTTTATCTAGAATTTCAAATAGTAGTAAAACAGAGCATACTTTTGCTTGTTCAGTCGAATTGCCTTCAATAGTAATAACAGTCGCTTGAAGACGTAGCACATAAATATTTTGATATTCTCGATTGATATCAAACGGTCGTGTTATATTCAAAATAAAAAAATAAAAATCAGCTAAACGTTTTGTTTTAATCGAAAATAAACTATTATCATCGTCATCATCAATAAGATTATATACGACAGATTTAATATTCGACGTATGATAAATTCCTGCTCGTATTCGATTAGGATAAAGAACTAATGAATTCGATAGAATATTTTCTTGACACCATATATCATAAATTGACTGTGTAAAATAAATATTTGTATTATCAATAATACGGCTTGTCAAAATTATATAAAGTATTAAGATAGATAATGAAGACATGCATAGAAACGTAGAACAATATGTCGAATCTAAAACAATAAGCTCATTTTTGGTATTTAGAAAGAATTAAACAAACTATCCTCTCCATTCTAATCGCAATACACATTCATATGAAGTAACAAGTCTCTATCGCTGAAGAAAATACGCATCACTCATCATTGAATATCTAGCTTATTGCATGAATTCATAACGCAGTTTTTATAAGCGTATATTGATAAATAAATATACCATGTCTAATTTGTATTAGTGAGTAGACATCTATATATAAACATATTGCCGATGATAGATGAGCGCCGACGTTGACCATCAACTAGCGTGTCTGTACAATCTAAAAACACGAAATGCGTGTCGAACAAATTACTACCTTCATTTTTATTTATATATAGGTCATTGTGATTCATTTAACAGGATTGGATGAAACATCTTTATCCATAAACATTCGTTTCGAATTCTATCGATTGTTCAACGATGTCTTACTTGTCTACTTACTAATGAATATAATAACGAAGTATGACATGCTGCGAAATCATTTAGTTGTTGAACGCAAATGTGTGAAAATGCTTACTGGTTTAATGACGTGGTCGTATGAATAGTTTGTTTTTATTGTTGGCATGCGTAATGAAAACATAAAATGAAATAAAGAAGATAAATTTGAACACTTACCGTTCTGTGAAAATCTATTTGCTTTGAAAAATTTTAATCTTATGCCATACTCTTCTCTATTATTAAAACGGGCTTCTCAGTTGAATAATTTATAATCTTAAACAATGGTCTATGTTTTTCTTTTCTCTAGAAACAATGAAAGAAAAAATTAGCTACTTCAGAATCAACATCATCCTACGGCCGACAAAAATAAACACATTGATGTAATGATCTATGATGTAATAATTATAATAACGATAGTGAATATCGAAAAAAGACCAGTTTATAATTCATGACGGCATTTATTCTACATCCGATTTCTTTTCTAACTACATTTTTATTTATGTCTTGTTTGTCAAGGCTTTTCTTTCTAGTGTTGGATGATGATGATAGAATTACGCAAAGCGCTTAACCGTACAATAGTAAAAGAATGAACAAAGACATCTATTCTCTTACAATATTTATTGAATGCACAACGCGTACATGCATATATTTGTTGAGACCCATCACTAACTTGTGAAAAGTAAGCGATCATTAGATTCAATGTCACAGGAGAGATCTTACTAATTTACATATAAGAATACGCTGGGTAATTTTTTATAATGGTTCAAAGTGTGAACAATTCGATAATCATCAAATGATTTGGATCGATGATCGATGGCTATTCAGTACCAATCATTTTCATATACGGCGAAGAATAGTTCGGGTCAAGACGAAATCGTAATGTAACTGATTAAAGCAGCTAACATATGCAATGTTAAAAACAAAGAGAATCTCTATATCCCGTTTTTTTTGCTTATGATTCTTCCGAGTATTATGAGATGTAAAAGTTACCTGATATCGTATAAACCACGATTGCAAATCAAGCAATGAGTAGAATTTTACTCGTATCAAAAAGGAATATTGAATGGCTAAGTTCAATGAATAAAAAGAAAAGAATGATTACAACTTACGCACGCAAAGTCAATTAGTTCAAGGAAAGAGAACAACTACTTACCGATAATTGTTTATTTATGCGAGCTGTAATAATGAAAAAGTGAATTCTTTCTACTGAGAATATTCTCTGACGATCACAAGTGGACACTTGCTGCTATTGCATATACATACTCACCATTTAGTCAAGAAGGTCATTTTGTTGTATGATGGTAAGCAAAAGGAGTACGATGAATACAAAAGAAAAGTTCTAATGGCATAACTTTTACACAGAGCTCAATCAAAATGATTGACCGATCGCATAAAACAAGCGACGAAACAATTCAAATTCTTTTTTTATGTTATAACTATTATGTATATCGTTTGGATTGTTTTACTATTCGAAACAAAATGATTCGATAATTCGAAATCATTCTTTTGATGGGCATTGTGCTGATACTAGTGTAGTACCTACGAATTGTTAATTAAATATGAAAATCATGTTGATCGATTTTCTTCTTTTTCGCTCATGAAATTATGAAGAGCAAATGGAAGAGAAGGCGAAGATTGCGTCTATTCAATTGGAGTCAGAATATTGATACAATCGAGAGATCTTTATATTTTCGGAAGATATCCTTTTCATATTCGTTGGTGCTTTAATTGAATTTCACTTCGATCTACTATATGCATATGTGTCCATTTGGGGTTTGGTGGAAAAGGCAGAAAGGGGAAATATCGAAAAGGAAAACGTCGAAAAAAAAAGGAAAACATAGAAGGGGGAAATGCAGAAATTCTAAACGTCGAAAGAAAAAATTAGAAAAAGGAAAACGTCGAAAGGTAAATGTCGAAAATTGCGTTTTTTAATAATTATAACGAAAAATAAAAATTAATTCGATCCCAGGTTGACTGATCCGACATCGGATCCGATAGTAGCCTGGAAATATCCTACAATCCGATACAATTCTATTGGATTCCGGGTCGAGGAATCGATGTCGGATCCTCAGTGTCGGAATCCTATGAACTTCCGATGGCATACAACGGTTTATCCTTGGAATTCATAGGAATCCGACACTGAGGATCCGACATCGATTCCTCGATCCGAAATCCAACGATAATTCTGTAAGATCTGACAGGATCCGATAAAATCCTATTGGATTCCAGTCGGATCGGATGGGTTCCGATAGGTGCCTACTGTCGGATTTCTCGCCCTGGGATCATATGATAAAATTAAATTAAAAAAAAGAAAGCTAAGTTTATCAGCAGTATTTTCTTTTTTTGTGTGATCCAAGTAGTAATGCTAATCTCTTCAATAATTGCTTTGCACTGATTACCAAATCAAAAGAAAAAATTTTCGTTATCTATAGACATCTTTTTCATTCTACGTTTTCCTTTTCAAAATTCTTCTACTTTTTTTCTCTGGCAGTTTTTCTTCGACACTGTTATTAATTATACTTTTTCCATTCGACGTTTTCCTCTTCGACGTTTTTACCTTCTGCAATTTCCAGTTTCGACGTTTTCTTTTTTTTTCGACATTTTCCTTTTCGGCGTTTTTCCTTTCTGCATTTTCCGCCAATTCCCTGAGGAACTTTGACTTTAATGGGATCCGTTATGTTAACACCGTGCGTGCTAAAACGATCATAGGAAAGATCAAACGACAAGAACTTGAAAATTCCCTCAGATGAAAAACTGTTGCATTAGTCTTCATTGTTATTTTGAAAACCGCCGTCGATAAGTTATGTCCTCTAATAAAGAGATCATAGGGATCCTTCTAGAGCCTGGAAAGCAAATATTTAAAAGTCGAAAATCCGTTTTAGTTTGGTATGTTGAACTGCAGTTTTCACGAGAAGTATTTCTTTCTAGTTGCACTCATCAACGAATAACTCAATCTGTTCCAAATGATCCAGGCGATCAATCCATTGTGACGATATTTTAATTTAACTTCATTATCACTCATTTTTAGTGAGAATAGAAATTCGCCGAATGAATTTTTAATTAATACGCTTCTGAGAATCAGTTTTATAAGGCTAGATGCGTTCACATTGCAACAAAATGTTATTGTGACGTTCAAGGATGTTTTTAGTTATTATACTTATTTTAACACAGACTTCTTTGTAATGTTTTAACCTATTCCACTAGAAATTCAACAATAAGATACTTCACATACATTTTTCTAAATAAAACCGGAGTTCAACGTACTGAAGATAATTATGATAATGATTTCTTGTTTTTTAGATCTCAGTCATGCGTAAGATAAACCGTGCCTGTCATATTCTTTGATATTTTCCTTGTGATAATTCCATGGTGATGTTTGTCCTTGTTTGGATGGTTCAAACTTCATCTCGATGTGTTTGAACACTGTTTTAACATCGTGTTTCAAAGAATGAAGAGATTTTTTATTCGAAATCAGCAAAGCCTGTGGTAGTATTCTCTCGGAGAACGATGAAACTTCCGATTCGATAAGCACTTTTTCCTTTCTCAGGTAATTATTAAATTGAGAAAAAACTTTGCTAGAAGCTGTCTCTATCCTCATTAAACTATAAATGGAAACGATCATTAAAAGTAAAAATGATTAGAGAACTCTATTATTATATTACTATGTAAATATGTGTCTAATGGCATCTTTTAAGTATAGCTGTATTACTGTTGAAAGAGAATGACTTCGTTTACTCACATACAAAATTATTTAGAGCGCTAATAGAAAGTTTTTTTCGCCCGCAATTTGTTTTCACTATCATTTTTAATTCTGTTTCAACCATAAGTATGACATTCTATTTGATTTATGTTATTAAAAACTCCTTTGGGGACCCAGTGACCTAATGACTATATCCAAAAAAATACCTGTCGAATCAGTGCTTGTTTTCTTCTTAATTTTCTTAACAATGTAGGGGAAATTTAATTTAAAAACCTGGAAGTCACGACATATATACAGACTGAATGTACTATTAAGAAACAAAATATCTATTCAATTCATCATGTAGGAGTATTTCGACAGGCAGATAAGAATATTGTCGATTCTCTCTAGTCATCATACTTCTAATGCTTTGAACCATAGAAACTCTAATGAAAAAAATTAATTCGACAATTGGCATTTTGCTTGTTGATTCGCTGTCGCATATATTTCTCTTATGCGTGCCTGCATGAATTATAAAATCAATTATTTTTAAATTTATAAAAAATATGTTAGTGATTTTTCGCTTGATATCATCTGCTTCCTGGCAGTTATTCTTGCAAAATTCTATATCGAATTGATTTAGAAGAGATTTCAATCGAAAACAATATATAGATATATACAAAACAACAGAGCAGTATCAATAGTTTATTGAATAATATAACAAGTGTAGAAGTTTTCATGCAATATTTATACACACTTGAAATCTGTCAATTAAACTGTTTTAGTGTTCTAATTCTGTTTCGGAGGAACAAAGAAAAGTAACGATTCTTTAGAAACAATAAAATATCTGTTCGTATCGTTTTGTTTAATGACCTTGAAATTGATGATGCGTTGGTTTTAAAGCTTTTACAAATAACAATGGTCGATCACCGATGAGTTCGCGTTTTTTATTTCGACCAAATAAATTCCATAATGAATATAGCGGACTACTATCACTTGAATTTTTATTTGCTAATATTTGCGATTTATCATAATACATTTTGAGATGTCTACTTGCTGGTGATAAACCATTACGGTCGCATATTAAAGGCGATTTAATTGTAAACGATTGAAAATTTAGTTTATTTACTTGAGTATTATTTTGTTTTAAAGAAAATGCTGTTAAACGTCGAGATGTTTGATATAAACTTTGCCGATTGTTATTCATGGAATAAAGTGAACCATGATGACTTGATGAATGTCCTGCATGTGGTATTAAACATGCACGTCCATTAAGACCCGTACGAGGAGTACCAGCCGGCTTCCTAATACCATTACCAAAACGAGTGGGGAAAAAAAGCCGAACAAATTCTCGACGAAATATTCGTCCGGTGAGAGCATATAGAAAAAAATTGCATGAATGATTTATATATTGACATAATTCAGCAACAGCTTTGCCAATAGCTAATGCTGTAAAATTATGATCTGGGCTTGATACACTTTGAACTATCTGCATTAATGACATCGGAGCTGAAAATACGCAAAATGCAATGCTAACAGATAATAACATAAATGTAATACGACGACCAACACGTGTATTATTCAATGAAGTTGGCTGTGTTGAATTGGCCATCAATAATGATGAATGACCTGAAATACTAGAACTTGATGCTAATGAGTATTTCTGATAATGATTTAGTTGACGAAGATTTCGTAATTGTGCGCTAATACTTTCAGCGTGAAATACTCGTTGTATAATAAGTATACTTAGTAAAAGTAACAAAAAAAATGGTATGGCAGAATATTTTAATCCATCAATGTAAACAAAAATTTTCTGAACAAAATGATGAGCCCAACGTGTTGGATGGCACACGTGCGTGTTGTCATCAATTTTTTGTATTTCTAATGTTATTAGATAATGACCATCAATCAATGCTAATACGGCAAAGATGACAACTAAAACCTAAATGAAAAAATTTTTCTAGGTTACTACATCTTTTCTAGATTTCAAGTTCATTCAAATGAACTTTCGTCATCTAGTACTCAACAGATTATATTAAAACTACGTGATTAGTACAAGGTCGATCTAATTATGCAGGACGTTCTTTTATTTTTGCTTGAAGTTTTATCTTTAATTATCTCTCTCATTATAAAATGGATCTGCGCGTATAAAGCGCACAAAGGTTCTGTTAAAAACTTGACACGTCTTACTTCTTTATCTACATCTCTTATTAACTTAATGATGTAAAATCTTACCCATTTGGCTCGTCTCGTTGTACACATCTGTGAAGCTCTTAAGGGTCTTGAAACGGCGAAGTATCGTTCAAACGACATGCATACAGTAATCCATACACTAACAAAACAAAAAGAAAAGAACCGAATTTATAACAGATTCTCTTAGTTCATGTATTTCTTATCAAGTTTGTTACCTTGCATCGGCAAAGAAGACGAAAAGAAATGGAACTGATTTGCATGTAAAATTCGATTGAACAACTAACGTTGGAAATTGCATTAAATACAACCATTGATTTAAACAGCCTGTCCATAAAACAAATGTATCTGTTACGGCAAGAACTGCCATATAAAAGCAAGTTGATGATATACGCATGCGTCTTCGACGCATTACAATAAATGTCATTATATTACATAAAGTTCCAAACACAATAATTGCTGGTAAAAATATCGTTTCAATACGATAAACGTATGCCAATATGGCTGTTTCATTTGTTTCATTGTTCATTGAGAATTTTTGTTTTCTGTTTTGTGCTTGTTTTATTTCAATATGAATTCATCTGAAAGAAAATATAGAAGAGTTTACTTCATATATTTATTCTTCTTCTTCTTCTTCTTCCTCTTCTTTCTGTGTATGTTTAACAAAATATAATTAAAGATAATAGAAAAAGGAAATCGAAAATGTTCTCGCATTGCGGTCTAAATTGTATCATAGAGAGAAAATAAAATGTTTACATTTGATACAGAAATGATAGATCTGTGAAATATTGAATAGCTTGGATTAAGGATTTTTTGTTTCATTAAAAGATCTTCGCATTTCCGATTGTTGCTATAAATAAAACTTCTCTTGGAATAAGTACTATTCTTTCAATGTTCAATCTCGTTTGAACTCAAAGTTTACAATATTATGTTCAATGTAAGTTCATCAATAATATATTTTTCTGGATTATAGAAATTCTATATCGACAAGAAAAGACTTATCGAATAGAATGTCTCTTGCACAGCAGAAAAAAGAGCTTCAGACGTTATGATCCTAGCTTGCCATCAAGATTTAAAAAGATGGAATTCAACATTAAACTTATCTTGATCCGAAAGCTAACGGTTTACTCTTGGAATCTAAACACATTGCATTTCTTTCTTATATCTTATAATTTATTTGATTGTCGACGAGAGATTTGCGCAAAACGAAAATTATCACTTGCAAAATTAATCAAAAATAAAAAAGGATGAACTATTCATTCAAGTGAGATCACCACTATAAAATGTAGACGCTGCGTAAAAGGAAAATTCTAACGACTTGCTAAATACAAGTTTTCTCTTTTAACAAACGCACGCCCTTAACGTTAATTTCTTGCAAAATTTTAATTCAATATGTCGTCAATGAATAATAAAATTAGCATGAAGCCCTACTACGAATAAGACCGTATGCATTGTAAAACCATAGATACGTCTATCATCATTTACTTCTATAGAAAAGCGCAACATTACCCATGGAAAAAAATTCAAAAAAAGAACGGATAAGAACGCGTTGTCGAGATAAAAGACTGCGTTGTGAAGACGCTTTTTCGACCTTTTCAGACGCGTTTGTGTAATGAAAAGCGCGTTCTTTTAAATAAAAGGAACGCGTTCTGATCGTTCCATAGGAACATGTTTTTCGCGGAAAAAACGCGTTCTTATTTAGAAGAAAAAAATCATTTATTTATTTTATTTTTAACTCTGTAATGCTCTCGAACGTGTTCCTTTGCTATTCGTACAAGTTCTCAGACTGCTGGTTCCTCTATTCGAATACTTGCGTTCGCACTGAACGCGCTCCAATTCGTTTTGGATTTTACTACTGTACAGCGGATTCGACCAGATAAACTTACAGTTTCAAAGTAGTGAATATCCGAATGAACAATACTTCCGTATGTTGGAAGAGCTAAATTTTCTATTTGTATTAAACAAAATTTATTCTGACGACGAAATTTATACTTAAGACTGATCCATTTACGTTTACGAAAAATTAAATAAATTCAAAAATAAATTTAAAGAACTTTAATTTCTTTTAAAATAAAATATTGGAAATTTAACGTTTTAATATTTTTTGACATTCAATAAAATTTTTCTAATGTAGCTTACATTAATAAAAATTCAATACAAAGCTGTTCAAATTCAATTAAAATTCATGTAATTAGACTTAAATATTTCTCAGGCGATCTAAACTCATTTACTGTGATTTTTATCGAATTCAAGTTTAATTAAATTGGTTTAAATTGAATTTGCAAAGTACGATCGATTTGAGTAAATTGAATTTTTTTTCTATTTTAAAAAGTTAAATTCATTATAAATTTAAATCGACAAAAGCTGAATTTAATAGAAATTAATTAGAAATCGATGGACAATTCTGATTTTTATTATGAACAAAAATAAGTGATGCGTTCGATGGCAAATAAAAATGTAATAAATACATTTGAGGCATACACTAGTATAACTTTTGCAAAATTTCTGTTTAATATTTAAAATCAATTGAAACCTTCCCGATTACTACTTTTTAAATAAAAGAAAGAATATACGATTTGAGAATGTACATTAAAAAAGCAAGAGATTAGCGAATTTGTTTGATAAAAAAAAACTAGTTTAGGAAAAAGGAAAATCATTTACTACGAAAATCTAGATAGATGATCACTTTTCTTAAGAAGACACTACCTTTCAGTGCATTGCAACAGAAAGAAATTTTTTCATGTTGACACATATTTCTTAATTGGCATAGCACTTTCGTTACATCTATTTCGATATACATATTTCAAATAATGAATTCCATTAAGTTAAAATGAGTCATTTTCACTACATAAAAGAACGCGTTCTGAAAGTTGTCGAAAAAGTTCTTCAGTATACGTTTTCAAGTGTTTTTGGAGAAACTGGTTTTCTAACTAAAAGAACGAATTACCCGCGAACAAGTTCGAACGCATATCAGTTGAAAGCGTTCGTACGATAAAAGACGCCTCCACTATTAACGCGTTCAATATAATAAAAACGCGTTGCTTACCAACAAGTATGCGTTCGAACGCGTTCACAATTTTGAGAAACGCGTCTAAACGCATCAATTTGTTCTTTGGAACGCGTTCGTAGTCGATGAAAGACGTTCGATTTTTTCGAAAACGCGTCCTTTCACTTTCATTATAACGAATAATTTTCCATGGGTAGTTTTCAAGTATTTTATTGAGTTCTTAGAAAATGATCAAATTTGTCGAGAAACAAAAAGAAAACAACGGGTTCATCATACGAATCTGTCTCGTATTTTTTCATCAAATACAATTCTTTTGTATTTACAAAGAGAAAAAAGAATCGATTGACATAATAAATAATCTAATCCTAAATCTCAAAAAAGAAAGAAACCTACGGATTAACATCTTCTACTATTCATCCAACTTCTTCCTTTCTCTATTTTTCCCCACCAAGAAGATAATCCAGCAAGAAAATTATGGCAACGATGAATTAGAATAAGAAGAAGTCTCCCCTTTTTTGTCGCATCGAAACGCTCGTTCATTATTTTTCTACTGACTCTCAATTGAAGAAGTCCATTGAACTTTCTTCAATACTATATATAAAAATTACGCACGAGAAATAAAAAGAAAAGCAGAGACCCTCCGCCTCTGACATTCAAAATTTAGCGAACTCTTTTTCTTCCAAAGTCTGAGGTGCAAATATAATGTACTTGATTGAATAATAATAAGAAGAAGAGGAGAATGATTTTTCTCGAAAAAAAAATTGACTATACAAGCATATGAAGTATGATGCGACTACGATACGCTTTAGCACTTCAGGCTATTAAACAGAAAATCGAACTGTTTAAGTTTTTAATCGTAGGAAAGCGAGAAAAACCAAGTAGCATATCAACAACAAAAAAACTCAACATTGTAAGTAGTTTATTTTTTTCTTTTCAGAAGAAAAAAGCGTCGGAGAGCTTTGATGGTTTTAGTTTTCACATATTAAGAGTCAAATAGAATATTAATAGCTTTATTATGTATTCTGTTCTAAGTTCTTCTCGTCTTGAGCACTAAATTCAAATCAACAACCAGTCAGTCGTACAAAGTACAAACATCTCCGGCGACGTGTCAATCAGTCCGAATATGAGCTAACTGTGGAAATAAAGATTAGATGTACGCAGTTTTCTGCCAGCATCAATTATTTTCGATGACGACTCTAGTCAAACGAATTGAATAATCTCAAAGCATAAGAGCAACGGGGACACAGAAAAAAAAGAACTGCGAAATATTTAAAACTATCAATAAATCGGCTAGATATTGATGGAACGAAAAACAAGATCTTTAAACATCTTTCTTACACCAAAAATCGATATAATCTCTTTATTCCAATTAACTTATTTGAATAAACATTAGCAATTCATCACACCCTCATATCATGACAATCAGGATATATCTTATCTCATGTAAAATCACTTGATTCACTGCTAAGCACGCATATTTTTTGTTTCATTAAAATGTAAAAAGTAAAACTACACTTTCTCGTGCCAACGTTGAATCATAATCTTGAAAAAAGGCGACATCCTACAATTCTCGTGAAAAAAAAATAGACAATAAAACTATCCTGATTCTTTTACGCAGAGAATGCTTTCTTATGATTTCAATTAAATATACTTGCCTGGTAATAAATGATTACCCCTTAGTAATTCTGTTAATTCAACTCGTATTGCCAACCGTTTGAATCTCATTCTCTTAGTACAAACTTCATTTATATATATATATTTGTATGTTTGTAGATCAAACAATGTATAGTACTACATTGAGACACATAATGTCAGAATGCATTCTAGAACTAGATGATGTGTTGAAAGAGTATGTTTCGAAGGCTAATTCGTCCACAATAGATAACGATGAAAGAAAGAAATCTATGCGGCAAGATAAACTAAATTGCTATGTGGAAGTTCGTGTTGGCTTGGCTTCTATTCAATATTAGAATAATCTAATACGAGCAAGCTAATTGAAAAAACAAAGATATCCTTGTTAAGCAGTATTAAATTTCTTCAAACATTCTCAATTAACCTTCAGTAATTGACAAGCAAAAATAAATCCCATTTCTGTTCTTGACAAACTTTTCTTTCCGTCGATGTTTTTGACATAAAATTGTCAGACAAAAACAAAATATATAATTCATTGTGGAGATGAATAGAACGACGTGCTAATACTTTCTTAGACAACTGCATCACTCATGCGAAAATGAATTGATGAAACGCCACTTCTTTTGAATGAAAAATGAAGAAAAGATAATCGAAATCTAAGAAAAATCATCTCAAAATATCGACACTTTTTAGCTGTTTCAAATAAAATATCATTTTATATATTAGATCAAAATAAAAAAATATTGTTTTTCTTTTCTTTCAAATAGAATCCTTGACAAAGATAATGTTTATTATTATTCATTGTACAATAACAACATTTATTTACATGAAATAGGCGAAAAAAATATCTTGTTTGACAGAATGCCGAACATTGTTATCAACACTATTTT